GAAGAATTGATGCTTTTGAACTGTGGTGTTGGAGAAGACTCTTGAGAGTCCCTTGGACTGCAAGGAGACCCAACCAGTCCATCCTAAAGGAAATCAGTCCTGAATATTCACTGGAAGGACTGATGCTGAAGCTGAAACTCCAATACTTTGGCCACTTGATGTGAGGAGCTGACTCATTTGAAAAGACCCTGATGCTGGGAAAGATTGAGGGCAGGAGAAGGGGATGACAGAGGATGAGATGGTTGGATGACGTCACCGACTTGATGGATGTGAGTTTGAGGAAGCTTCAGGAGTAGGTGATGGACAGGGAAGCCTGGTGTGCTGCAGTCCATGGGATCTCAGAGAGTCAGACACGACTGAGTGACTGAAATGAACTGGACTGATAATAAATGTGTGTTATCTTAAGCTTGAGTTCTGGTGATTCTTTTCCCATGTGAGTAGAGATTTTCTTGGTTCTTTTACATCACATGATATGGATTGTATTATTGAGCTCTGAACATTATATTCTGAGACTCTGGATCTGACTGAATTGTGTGGGAAATGCAGTGTTTTTGTTTTAGTGGGTCTGGATAGGCTCAGCCCCGTTTTCTAGCCTGCTTTCTGTGGGCTCTGGTTCCAGTACCATTTTCAAAACTTTCACAGGGCTCGTTTGCTTTCTTATGCCTGAGCTCCTCCCTGCTGACAGTCTGGGATGTTGACTGTCTTCTGTTAGGTCAGTTCTCAGATTCTTTAATGTTCTGATTAGGACCAGATCCATACATGCATGCCCAGGGGTGAGCTCAGTACTTCATTAACTGCTTTGTAAGATTCCTTTCTAGAGCTCTTTTCCTTCTGTGATCTCACTGATAGAATCGGTTTCCTTCAGGCTCCCTTTTTAGTTGTTACTGTTGTGTCACTAAGTCGTGTCCAGTTCTTTGCAACCCCGTAAACTGTAGCCCACCAGGATCCTCTTTCCATGGGATTTCCCAAAGAAGAACACTGGAATGGGTTGCCATTTCCTCCTCCAGGGCATCTTCCTGACCCAGGGATCGAACTTGTTTCTCTTGCATCGCAGGCAGATTCTTTAATGCTGAGCCACCAGGGAAGCCCCCCATTTTGGTACTTTAAGGCCCATCTGAGGCTTCAGTTGCCCGGTTGTACTGTGCACTTCAGCTGTTGTGCTCTCGTCTGCATCTAACCCAGCAGCAGAAGAGAAAAGGGGACGTGTGGTGGTGGGGTCTCTACTTTGCCTTCCCCCTTTACTAATCACAGCTCTACCAATTGGAGAAGATTCCTCTCCCTGAAAAATTTGGCTCCTATGAATTTCCTTTGCAGCCTTTGTCACCACTGCCTTGGGACTGCCTGAGGGTTGAGACAGGAGAGTAAGTAGGAGAGAAAAATAAGGAAGAATTTTTGCAGTGCCTAAGAATATTGAGTGTTCTTAAGTGCCCTTGCTCCTGCTGCAGCTGGAACTTGAAGCTTTGCTGATGCTCATCTTCATGTTTCAAGCTGTGTTGTATTGAGGCTAGGAAATACTAGGGGAAAGGAAGAGGTAAATTCACCACCTGTGTGCTGATATTTCAAATTCCGGAACTTTGTCCCAGTCTGTAAAATATTTACTTTTCAAAGTCCTCGTGAGCTACCTACATTCCATTCCCTTTCCTTCTAAATGATTGTTTCTTAAATTCTTCAGAATTTTCCTTGATGGTAAAGAACAAAGTGATTGAAAATTTTTTCTTCATTTTGACACCTGTTTATAGCTACTGTCTGGACCTAGCTTCCTTGTTTTTCTTCGTCTAAGCATATATTCAGAATAAAACCAAATCATTTTATTCTTCTTTGAAGTTTTCAGAAGGATCAAAATATTTTACTTTTGAAACCTTCTAATATTTTTAGATATTTAATAGCTTTTTTTCTAGTATGAATAGTATGACTCTATGTAAGCTGAAATAATTGATTAGACTTTATAAAAGATAACTTCAACTTGTCTTCTCTCTCAGTTCAAATGTGAATTTCTGAATTTTATGAATCACATCTAGCTATTAAAGGGAGAAAGGACATTCCAAGCAAACAGAACCCTAGCAGAGACATAGAGGCAGAAGTGATCTTGTGTGGGTAAGAGTGGATGTATTTGCCTTAGTAAGGGAAAACTCCTGGACAACTGTGTTGAACAGATGTGATTGTGCCAGATAGTGGAGGGCCTTGTACATCATGCAGATGAGTATAAACTGAAAAAATAATTATTATCTGGCACCACTAAGAACCTATTAAAATCCTTGAACTTTTTGAGAAGCTCATGAATGTTATGAAATTATTATGTAATGTTTTAAAAATAGTAGGTATTTTTTCAGTTATCTTACACAATCCCAAAATAGATGTATGTTCTTTACAAATGTTAATGCATTTCTTTAAATCAAAATACTCTTTTTAACTCTAAAGGAGGCCAGCCATGAAATCATCTGTAGAGGATCATTTTATAGGATAGTCATATCCCAATTTAATTTTTACACAGTTTTGAAGTTTTGTAGAATTTAAAATACAGTGTTAAAAATATATTTTTCTATATTTTAATATAATAAAACAGTATAGAGTTGGCAGTTTGAATAACAAAGAGTCTGTGATTATTGTTCATAGGACTCATCAAGCTCTTCCTCGAGATTCTGTTATAGAAGACTTACGTTTGCAAAATAAATACCTCCAAGAAAAACTTCATGCTTTAGAAAAGCAGTTTTCAAAGGATGCATACTCTCGGCCTTCAGTAAGTGCATATCTTTTCATTGTTTTAATTCTAAAGTTTAAAAATGAAATAACTTCTGCCTTTATCTGGCTAGAAATAGTAGATCCTTCTCATTAATATTAATATAATAAATCCAGCTTTTATTTTTACTTGGTAGAGATATATGTTAACTTCTTTAATTATTTTTACATAATATAAATTTGTGGTTCTTATGCTTTGCATAAAACTTCATTACAAATGATTTCTGTAGATTTTAAATGTAGTTATGAGTTCTGTTGTGACAAACACACATAGTTAAATAAATTAGGAAGATTATGTTATAACATTGTATCCATTTGTGTATGTGATACATTTCTAGTGTGTCTTTATAAAGTCTCATTAACTAGAATTATTTGTTGTATCTTATTTTAAAACATTTGTGTGTATATTTTTATTATCTTTTTCCTTTTCTTTTCCTGTTTCTTCTGTCTGCTTCAAGCAGAATCTGTTATGTGACACAACTACGCTTTCTCCTCTTGCTGCCAGTGTTAATAAATACAGGCATAATATTTTTCACAAAAAGAACACTCTACACAGGAACCAAAACAATCGCATAACAGTACTCAGAATTAAAAATAAGAAAGAAATAGATGTTAGTGCCAACTTACATCATCAGTTACCTAGACATAATCTACAGTATTACAGTAATGAAGAAAAACCCAAAGCAGAAGATATTGTAGATCCTACTGAGTTAAATAAATCTGAATCAAGAACAAACAATACATCAAGTCCATTTAGGTCAACTGAAGGTACCTTGACCGATTTTAACCCCAATTTTGAAAATGATCCAAATCCTAAAGTTCAGAAAATTAATGAAGACTGTTGTGAAAATGATGAGCAGGAAGATAAAAACAGAGAAGAGAAAGCTACGCAAGATGAGAAAGAAAAGGGACACATAACTGAAGTGAGTCACAGCAAGCACGTGGATCCAGGAGAATCTTCTGGGGAGGACTGCGGCCGGGCCGCAGGGGTCGGGGCACGGGGTCAGCGTGCGGAGGAGGGCGCAGAGGCACCCTCTGAAACCGGCGCGCCAGTCCAGCCAGGAAACAAAGCAGCCCGGGTTTGAGCACAGGCAGTCCTTTATTCCTCTGTTGGCTGAGTGTTCTTGTAGCAAGTAGCATATGCGTCTGGTACAGATGGAAACAAATTGTGTCAGATTTGTAAAAAGCATTAATTGTTAATAAACTTCTTAAACCCTAATGTTTGACTCGTTCTTTCTAAAACTTAGTGGTCGTGCATTTCTCTAATTCATTTTAGTATTCTGTTTTACTAGTGGTATTCACTTAAAAAGTATTAGATTAGATAACAGAATAACAAAAATAAGGCTCTTTTAGAAGTATTCGTTTTGCCTTAGAAATTCCTAATTCAGCATGTTGTAAAATCTCACTGCAAGTCAGATTTCACTACAAGGAATAATATTGAAAAAAATCTGTTATGATGCTGTGTAACATTCTAATATACATAGCAAGTTCCTTTGATGATCTTTTTGCCTTGTATTATAAGATACTTTTTTATATAATGAGAAAAGTGAGTTATATGTATTGCCTAGGTATAGTTCTCACAATACTCTGCAGAGAATTGGGAAGCTTGGAGAAACATCTCTAGTGATCAAGAGGATGCAGAACTAGGATTTATATGGAGGTCTAATTCTACAGTTAATGAACTTTCTACATATGCTCTACTTTTGGTCAATTTACATGGCAGTCCAGAGTAAGAAGTTCGTTCTGAATTGAAATCAAATAGCATTCATTCATTTGTTCATTCCTTTCCACCTTGGATATTCTAGTCACTTAAGTCATCATTAAATTAGACATTTAAATTAAGAGAAAACGGGCAAAAATGACTTAATTCTTATTTCCGTTTTCAGGCACATAATGCTTCTTGTTTTTTCACTTGATAATAAGTAATTGAGAATTTGAGACTTCCCCTGTATACCTTTTAATAAGATTTTCCTTCTAAAGAACAATTTGTTAAGTCTCCCTGAAATTGATTATACAAGAATTTTTTTATTTTACTTTTATAGATGAGTTTTATTAGATTTGTTTTCCAAAAATTTGAACAATCTTAGCCCTTTTGTTTTCTGAGAACAGGAAGAAAAAAATGATCCACATTCACTTACTTGAATAACTGCATCTGTATTTTAGTGAGGAGAACTGTTGAAAAAATATCTTCATGTAAGATCAGATAGAATTAGTCTCTCCTGTGAGTGAAATTTAGTATATATCTATCAGGGGTACTGATTATCATTGATTAAATTGCTATTGTAGACTGACGAGATGAAGTAAGGGAGACAGAAGAGCTCAGGGATAGGAAACTACAGCTTGCCATGTCTGAAGAGACCTTAAAATCACCCTGCCTAGTGCCTTCACTTTCGAGATGCAGAAACAGAGGACCTGACAGGCGGTTGGTTTTGCTTAGTGTTAACCCTAACAGTAGTGAAACCAGAATGTAGACTTGGATCATCTGACAAAGGAGGGACATATTGCTGTAGTTTACTGACACCATGAAGCATGTCTGTCTGCTTTTGCTTTCCACTGTTACATTCCTATGCACACACATTCTCTCAGACAGAAATCAGGTGGATACATGCAGTGTTTCTGCCAGGCTTGTATTATACGCTCTCAGCTCAGAATCATAGGTCAGCTCAGAATCTCTTTACTTTTCTACATCCTATTTTCTAATTTCTTTACTTTAACTCTGTTTTACCTAAGAAAACTTACTCCTTTTTTACTTTTTTTTTAACCAAAGAGTGAATGTGTCAGAATGTATTTAACCTACTGCTAATTCAAATGATGTTACAGAGCCAGGTATAATAAATGTATTTATAGAATATTATACCTTAATAATAATGTATAATATATCAGTCTATAATAATATGATGATCATAATAATGTCTCTGGAATTATTGACTTGATAGTTAATCAAGCCAAGAGAATAGAATGGGAGAGAAAAAACTAAAACTGTTCTGAGTTGCTTTCACAAAATTATCTCATATAATGCTCTTTAACAGTCTTATAAGTGGTATCTTTACTACCTTGTAGTAAAAAGTAACCAAGCACATATTTCTCTTTCAAATGATGTACAGTTTAGAATGAGAAATAAGTATGAACATTGATAATAGCCCCCCAAGGTGGATTCATGCCAGAACAAATGCAAATAAAGTGTTCCTGGATTTCAGAGGAGGGAGTGATTATTTTAGCTCCAGGAATGAGGAATAACTTTCTAAAGGAGGAAGGAATTTAGGCACCTTTTGTAGGCTTGTGTATTCATCTGCTATGGCAACCATAACAGAACACCAAGGAGTTGATGCCTTAAGCAACAGAAATTTATTCTCACAGTTCTGCAAACCAGAAGTCCAGAATCAAGGTATCGGCAGAGTTGGTTTCTTCTCTATTTAGGCTTTGGGGAGAGGATCCCTTCAGGCCTTTCTCCTGGCTCATAGACGGCTAGCTTCCCCCGTCTCTATAGTTACCCTCTTCTGGTCTATGTGTCAAATTTCGCTTTTGTGTAAGTACATCAGACTTTGGATTAAGGCCCACCCTAGTGACCCTGTTTTATCTTAATTATGTCTGAAAAGGCCCTATCTCCAAATAAGGTCATTTGAGGCACTGGGAATTAGAACTTAAACAAACGAATTTGGGGGTTTGATGGGAGTTGGGGCAAAATGCAATCTATAACAGGTAACAATGTTTTATTTTGGACTGAAAGAACCACAGATTATATGTGTGGACATCATTGAATCATACTGACTTTGTTTTCTGTACTAATTTCAACAGACTGATTACCTTTTGTGAGTTTGTTTGTTTATGGTTGTTTTCTCTAGAGCTCTTCAATTTTCTCATTCTTTTGAGGAACAGTGTTCCCTTTTAGCATAGTGTTTTCTTACCCAGCATGTCTTATACAGCTTTTATTTGCTACACCTTAAAAATACTCCTAACTTCATTTTCCTGAAGACTTCAGGAGTAGATTCAGATGATCATTATCAAAGAGAACAAGAGCTCCAGAGGGAAAACTTGAAGTTGTCATCTGAAAATATTGAACTCAAATTTCAGCTTGAACAAGCAAATAAAGATTTGCCAAGATTAAAGGTAAATTTAATATTCTTTATTACAGTTAGAAAATCTAATGCCTGAAAACTTTCTCCCTACTTGTTATGTTTACCATGTTAGCTTATGAAGAAGCCAGAAACTCATATTCATAAAATATGGTAGTGTTTACACTTTCTACATTCACTCATGTGACAGTTATTTGTTGAGGGCCTTCTTTGTATCAGGTCCTCTTCTATGTGCTGGGAAATAGCCATCAGAAAAATTCGTGCACTTGTAGAGCTTATATTCCAGCAGGAAGGCTCATAATAGGTAAGCAAGTCAGTATATTGTATGTCAGCTGATGTTAAATGCTAAGAAGAAAAAGCATGGTTTGTGTGTGTGTGTGTTGGATAGGGGTATGGTTGACCCTTGAACTACGAGGGTCCATTTATATGGGGATATTTTTCAATAGTAAATACTGCTGTTTTACCTGATCCATGGTTGGTTGAATCCACAAATGCAGAGAAATTGCAGATATAGAGGACCAGCTATGTTATACCTCCACATTGTTTAGCAGTCAACTGTATATGGGATTGCTCTTTAAAATAGAGTAGTAAGGGGAGGCCTTATTAATAAATGATATTTTAGCAGAGAACGAGGGGACAGGTAAGGAAGTGGGTCATACAGATACTGGAAAAAGGATTCCAGACAACAGAACTGGCAAGTTCAAATGCTGTGTGTGTGGCAAGATGATAGTTGGTCTGTTTAATTAACAGTTACCACATTTCAAAATATTCAGATGAAAAAGTAATAAAATATTAGGGTAGCTCTTAAAATATAAAGTCTTTAAAAAATGTTTAGGATAATTGTCTCTGTTAGAAATTTTACTTTATTTTGATATTTATAATAAATTTATTTTTGGTTTTTGAAATTTTATCCTATTTATTGGAGTATTTTTCTCAACTGGCTGTTTCATTTCTGTTTTTTCACTTAGAATATTAGCAACGTGTTAATTCCACTGGTAATAATATAATTAACCTATGTCCTACTTCTTATTCTGGTTTTTACACTGTTAGAACGTGTCAGAAGAGCAATTGTTTATTTCTTTGTACCACGTGGATATGGTTCTACATATGTAATTTATGGGACAGTTAAAATTAGGAGTTCTGAACTCAAACTTACTATTGTATACTAAGGCAATGATGATGGACAGGGAGGCCTGGTGTGCTGCAGTCCATGAGGTCACAAAGAGTCGGATACGACTGAGCGACTGAACTGAACTGACGGCAATAATGTAGGAAATATATATTTAAATCCATATATAAAATCTCTTGTATTAGTACACTTTACTTCAACATATGTCACAGTTCAAAATTCTCTTATTGGTAGGAAGATCCATTTGTTTACTTAAGCTATACAGTTGAAGAGACTGGTAGTTCAGATGAATTGTTTGCCTTTCCTTATCAATGACTAAAACTGTGTTAAATTGTTACATGTTTCTTTAATATTCAGAATCAGGTAAGAGACTTGAAGGAAATGTGTGAATTTCTGAAGAAAGAAAAAGCAGAAGTAGAGCGGAAACTTGGCCACGTTAGAGGGGTGAGTATGTAAGAGTATGCCATGTGTGTGTTTTGGCTTCAGAAGGGATAAGGTGGAAGTGAAATAAAAGGTTGGATATAGCAGTACTGATATGCCTTTACTAGTGCCTCTAGTTTAAGTCTTATTCTGCTGCATGTACAGTGTAAAACATTACTAAGCTTTCTCTTTGTTTCAAGTTAGTAAATTTCATCATCTGTCACATCTTACATGCTTTTTATTCCACTTGGACTCTATACCATCTCTTTTTCCTTTGCATCTCCCTCCACACCTTGAAAACATTTAACTTCCAGGAATCTTCTTTCTTCTGTTCATCGAGGTAACTACTAACTGCTTCTTGGTCTGATTCTAACCCTTTGTAACTACTTTTTATGATATTCATGGCAGCTTCTTAGTTATAATGCTAATATAGTAATGTTGGGTTTAAGCTGTTCCTTATTAGCTGCATGAGTTTAAGAATATCAAATTCTCTGAGTGTTGATTTTCTTGTATGTAAAGTGAAGATTGTAATTCCTCTTTCATAAGGTTATTATAATGAGTTGAAATAATACAAACTTTGGCTTCAAATGTTAGGAATCAACAATGAGTTTAATAATAAACCTCTTGTATTCTGGGTACTTTATATTGTACTTTCTAAAACATTTGATTAAATAAAAATTTAACATTTTTTCCTAGTCTGGTAGAAGTGGAAAGACAATCCCAGAACTAGAAAAAACCATTGGTTTAATGAAAAAAGTAGTTGAAAAAGTCCAAAGGGAAAATGAACAGCTGAAAAAAGCATCAGGAATATTGACCAGTGAAAAAATGACTAGTATTGAGATGGAAAATGAAAATTTGAAGGTAATATTCTTAATGCCGTTTGTACAGAATGTTATACTGATACAATTTTTATTAATTTTTAAGGATAGTTTTAAATATAGTATATAAAGTGGCTTTAATGGATGAACAGATATTTTACACATGTGGAAAAAAAATATTGGAGAGAATGATTGAAGTGTTACAGTAGCATCATGTGGTCATCTTACTATTTCCAGACCATTGGTTCTCACTCTGGCAACATAAAATAATTAACTGTGTCTATTTTCAAAAATACAGTTGCCTAAACCCCCAATTGTGAGATTGATCAGTTATGGGATTGGTCCCACCATTAGTATTGTTTTTTTTAAGTCATCAACTCATTCTAAGCCAAGATTGGAAACCTCTGTTCTAGATGACCAGTATTAAAGGGAAGAATTTAATTCTAATTGTGTGAAATATGATCTCTAAAACTATGTTGAACTAAGTTTTATGAGTTTATGGGATCATCATTTATTTCCTCGTTTTGATAATGTAGAGTTTTTTAAATTACCAGGTTGAATTAGAAAAACTCAAAGTTCATCTTGGACGTCAGTTGAGCATGCACTATGAATCAAAAACCAAAGGCACAGAGAAAATTGTTGCTGAAAATGACAGACTTCGTAAAGAACTTAAAAAAGTATGACTTTCATTATTGACTATACTTATTTTTATGTTAATACATTTGTGGAAAACTGAATGAAAGAGTTGATGAGTGCCTATTCAGAATAGATATTAAGAGATTTAGGAATTGTGTTTTATGCCCACCATTGTTTCATAATGAGGAACACTGAAAATAAAAAATAAATTAACAGGGAGTATAATGTAGAAGCAGGGCTTCCCAGGTGGTACAGTGGTAAAGAACTCACCTGCCACTGCAGGAGACAGGGCTCAGTCCCTGGGTTGGGAAGATGCCCTACAGGAGGAAGTGGCATCCCACCCCAGTGTTCTTGCCTGGGCAATCCCATGGCCAGAGGAGCCTGGCAGGCTGTAATCCAGGGGTTGGCAGAAGAGTCGGACGTGACTGAGCACACATGCACACATATGTAGATGCCACACAGCCGGGACGATTTAGCTTCATTCCTTCTTAATTCTGGGAATGAGGGCAATCTGCTATTCCTTCTCTGTTTCCTCATCTATAAAACTGGGACTATTAAGTGTATCAGTTTCACAGAGCTGCTACAGGGCTTACTTGCGTTACTATTTATGCATGTGTATTTATGAATTACACTTGATGTACAAGACAGTATATGAAACTATTTTGTTAAACAGTAAGATTCCTTTCTATTTAAGAGACAGAATATATTCCTTGCCCCAGACAAATGTGTCCTTATTTATATGTATGATCCAATGCATTAACTGAAATTAATATTTTTAAACTAGTTACAATGGAATCTGAACACATTTTGAGGCCAGAGTGATACTGTGCTTTGAATGTAGATGTTTTAATTGTGGAAATAATCTGTGGTGCTTACACAAAGTTTATAGTTATAGTTATGTCTCAGGTATTAAAGAGTCAAACATCTTTTTTAAAAAATCTAAAGACATAAACTATTCCATTTTCTGTAACTATTATAACAAATATGACAAAGTAACAATGGAGTAAAATATTGTAAATGTATTTTTATAACCTCATTACATGCTCTGTTGTAATTATGACCACCACATTGCTGTTCTAGAGTTTAAAAAATACTGGATTTTTTATTGGACTTTTAATCAGCATTTAGAATTTCAGGTTATTTTTCTTTCTAGTTTGTAGTGATAATTTTGAATATATTACATTCATGAGAACAGTATTACCTGTTGGCATAATATACTAATTAGCTTTTAATGATAGGAAACTGAAGCTGCAGAGAAATTACGGATAGCTAAGAATAATTTGGAGATATTAAATGAGAAGATGACAGTTCAACTAGAAGAGAGTGGTAAGAGATTACAGCTGGCAGAGAGTAGAGGCCCACAGCTTGAAGGTGCTGACAGCAAGAGCTGGAAATCAATTGTTGTTACAAGGTAGGAACAAGCAGCTTAACATTTGCAGTTTTATCAGTTCTAATTCTGCCATTATTGTTTTTAAAGAATATGACACTATTCTAATTCACTTAGTTCTTTCATGAAGAACTGTTGGATGGTTTGTTTTAACATGATCCTTACTCTTTCTTCCTTAAGAGATTTAACTAATTGGGGTGTCAGGGCACAGATCAGAGAGAACTGGGGCTGGGCTGAGGGTTTTGGAACCCAGCAAGTTTCCTGAAGCTACTGTCAACCATGAGCCCAGACTGATAGTGCCTAACTTGTCCTGCTTTTCTCTGTGCTGCATTCGTTTTCTACCCCAAGTATAAGCCAGGCACAATGGAGCCCTCTTGTCACAAGCTGTGGCATACCAGAGTAGGCTGTGCTGCAGTTTTGGAGCTATGTTCTGGGCAGCGTGGTCTTGAAATACCTTCAACAGATGAATTCAGCAGACAGTTTTAGTGTCTTTCAGCCTCTACTTTCTGGCACTTGATTTTCTCCCACCCCTTGAGCCTTTTCTACAAGTGCATGTAATTATTGCCTGTCAAATAAACTTTGTGGCTATGAAAGAGGTTCAGGCTATAAGTCACTGGCAGGCTGTAATCCAGGGGGTGGCAGAAGAGTCGGACATGACCGAGCGCACATGTGCACATGATGTAGAAGCCACACAGCTGGGATCAGGTTTTAGCTTCATTACTTCTTAATTCTGGGAATGAGGAGAGTAGGAATTCACCAGTAAATATTCATATGTTCATTGTCACTACACCGGGGGTGGTTCACTGTGACGGTGAGTCACTACAAGGCTTTGGTGTCATTCTCATTTCAACCTTAAGCAACTGCTTCAAGGAGTATATACAGAAGTGGAGACCAGTGAGATCCTGCCCGCATCCTTCCCTGTAACATCATCCTGAATGAAGCTGTGTCCTTTACATCTGCTGACCCCATTTCAGAAGGCAGACTCATCCTACCACATTCCTAGAGTTCCTTCTGCCTGTGCGTCTGAGCACCCCCTTGGATGTCTGCCTGCCATTTAGAACGGACTGGGTGTGGGTTCGCGGTCACCGTCACTGCAGCTGGGATGGGAATCTTAGCACTGTGAGGCTACAGCAGGTCTCAGAGAGGGCCTGCCTCACTGCACTTGCCCCGTCAGACAACTCTGAGGAGGAAGGTTTTACAGGTAGATTAGAGGGCCCAGCCAGTCCTGAAGAAGGGGCCCTTTCTAACATCATAATGACAGTACTCAGAATCTACTCTCCTCCCTCCCCACGGCTGTTTCCTTGCTTCTGTCAGAGGGCTAATGTGAGGGCTGAGTGGAACAGTACCTGTGATAGTATAAAGGGGAGAAGGAGTCTCTCCTTTTGTCTGCCTGAACGCCAGCAGAGGCTCGCAACCATCAGGCCTATCGATCGGTTTCTTGGTCGGTCCTCTATTTCCTGCTACTATCATGTAGGGACTGAAAACATTCTGAGTTGCTTTGAGATGTATTTACCCAGCAGGTATTTTCTCAGTACCTGCTACATGCTAGACTCTCCTTTATGTCAGATGTATTTCTAAAAGGCCTACTTTAACTAGGTTTCTTCAGAAAGCCAGGTAGCTTCTGGGGCTTGCTGTTGTCTAGTCACTGAGTTGTGTGACTCTCTTGCGACTCCATAGCCCACCAGGCAAGAGTTTCCCAGCTGAGAACACTGGAGTGGGTAGCCGCTTCCTCTTCCAGGGGACTTTCCCGATCCAGAGTTCACACCTGTGTCTCCTGTGTGGGCAGGCAGGTTCCTTACCATTTAGCCACCAGGGGAGCCCTCCAACGCCTACAAGTACCTTGGACTGGCAGATAGAGGCCGGGGTGGGGTGGTTCATGTGCCTCCGTTTCCTCCCCAACAACAAGTGACTTTTTATAATATTTGAAAGCTGAGGGGGCTTCCCTGGTGGCTCAGTCAGTCAAGAACCCACCTGCAATGCAGGCAATGTGGGTTCGATCCGTGAGTCGGGAAGATCCCCTGGAGAAGGAAATGGCAACCCACTCCAGTATTCTTGCCTGGAGAATCCCTTGGACAGAGGAGCCTGACAGCTACAGTCCATGGGATCGCAGAGTTGGACACGACTGAGCGACTGACACACACATTTCTCACTATGACCGTAAGTAAATTACAGTTCTTCTGTCAGTTCAAGTTTTTTTTTAAATCTGTGGAAATGATAAATCCCCTGTCCTTTCTTTTCTAAAAAGGGATCTGTGAAGTTGCACACAAAAAAATTATGAATGTGAAAAGGGTTTATAAATATTTAATAAGCAGGGTAATGAGAGACCTTTTAGATCATTTCTGTGTTTTTAATCTGAAAACTGCATAGGTAACTGAGCATAGAGTAAGCCTTCATTAAACACTTTTCAAAAAAACATGACAGAAGGCTACTTCTGGTCTGTAGCCTCATATATCCCTAAATCCACATTAAAAATGGCTCAAATCTGCAGCTGGGATTAGACACCCAGGTCAGCAAAGTGATTGGTATCCATGACACATTATGCTTATACTGAAATCCTTATAGTTGCTCTATTATTTACTCAGTAAACGAATGACATCTATTCTGTCTGGCTTTGTAACACCAACTGCTGAGACAGTGCAGGGTGATGCAGGAGCTATTCTAGAGAGGGTGGTCAGAGAAGGCCTCCTGGCACTAGACCCGGGAGGTGAGTGAAGTGCAGCAGTGCCCTTCAGGCGTTTCACTGCAGGTCTCCCCACTCCCACAGTTTCTATTTAGGGTAACAGTGTTGCCGTCGAAGTCCCTAAGGTTTATCAAATACTCTTTGATGATAATTACATTACTTTGATGTAATATTGAAATAATCATTTTCTTCTTTGTCCTGCCCTTAATCTGATTTTGTTGCTAAAGTGTTTCTTCTTTTTCTTTTCTCTGGAGAAGTTTCAATGTTATGAACATTGTCTCTTTTAAGATGGAATATGCTTGTGTAAACTGTTTTGGCTCAGTGTTTTAGAAATTTCTTTTGGGGTCTTTTTTTTTTTTTTTTAACTATTTGAACTATCATTTCCTGAAAGGTTACAAATCTATTCAGAGATACCATTTTTCTTATCCCTACTTTTACACATTCTGTTCCCTCTCCCAGGAGTGTTGTACTGGTTTTGTTCTAACTGAATTAACTCGTGTGTGTGTGTGTGTGTGTGTGTGTGTGTGTGTGTGTGTGACAGAGAGAGAGAGAGAGAGAGAGAGAGAGAGAAATGCTTTATTTATCTTTAAATATATTCCTGAGAATATCCAGCAATATAAAGTTTTATATTCTTATGAATTCAGTTTCTGTTTCTTAGTTTTGTGACTGAAAAAGGTATTAATTTTAATTTTTTACAGTGGTCAGATTCATCAGGTTATATCCTTGTTTATAACCTTGGGAAACACCTAAATCCTCAATTTAATTGGCCTGTTAATTAAGGGGTCCTTCTCCCTTGCTGTCATGTAATGCTAAATAAATATGTAGGAGAAGACTTGACCAGAAGAACCAGTATAATAAGATATTCTTTATTTTTAATGCAGTAATTTGCAGTGGCTTTTAAATCAGTAAGAGAAATTGTTTTCCATGTCTACACCATTTTTTCCCTTTATACTTTTAGAATGTATGAAACCAAGTTGAAAGAATTAGAAACTGATATTGCCAAAAAAACTAAAAGCCTTACTGATCTTAAACAGCTTGTAAGACAAGCAACAGAGAGGGAACAGAAAGTTAAGAAATATACAGCAGACCTTGAGCAACAGGCAAGTAATGTCCTTGTTTCACCTTCTCCGTATGTGTGTGTGTTTTTAGTTGCTCACTTGTGTCCAACTCTTTATGGCCCCATGGACTGTAGCACTCCAGGCTCCTCTGTCCATGGCAGTTCCCAGGCAAGAATGCTGGAGCGGGTTGCCGTTTCCTAGTCCAGGGGATCTTCCCAGCCCAGGGATGGAACCTGCGCCTCTTGTCTCCTGCATTGTAGGCAGATTCTTTACCACTAGCGCCACCTGGGAAGCCCTAAGTGAAAGTCGGGCAGTCATGTCCAGCACTTTGCGACCCCACAGACTACACAGTTCATTGAATTCTCCAGGCCAGGATACTGGAGTGGGAAGCCTATCCCTTCTCCAGCAGATCTTCCCAACCCAGGAATCGAACCAGGTGGATTCTTTACCAACTGAGATATCAGGGAAGCCCTATCCCTGACATATATTCTCCACGTATTTACCAAGTAGTCCTTTTAAAGTATAAAGCACATCATAGCAGTCCATCCTTAGAATCTTCCAGTGGTTCCCATACCCTAGAATAAAACCCTGAAGTTCTTTTCATAGCCTGCAAGGACCTACGTGATGACCTGGCATCTTGTTTCCTCTCTAGCCTCATCTTCACTTTCTCTGGCACTCAGTGTTCTAGCCAAATTAACTTCCTTCAGTCCTTGGAACAAACCAAACTCTTTTGGTTTATTCAGGGTCCTGCTTTTGTTTCCCTTGTTTAGAATACTGTTTGCCCAAATATTCCCATACCTCACTCCCCGCTTGCACGTCTCTCCTTAAATGCAGGCTCCTCAGACCCTCCCAATCCCCACACTGCATTCCATTCACTGTCGTCTTACTGTTACTTTTAGTAGGCTCCTCCATCTTGAAATGTAAACCGATGACATCACATCACATGCTCACTGTCTTCCCACCAACATCGAGAGAACCACAGGAACATGCAGGAAGGCATTTGGCCTGTTTGTTCCACTGCTGTATCCAGTGTGCCCAGGACAGTGCCTGGCATGCAGTAGTTCTTCCGTAAATAATTGTTGAATGAATAGTGGATAGATTCACCACAGGTGTGCAATCATACATACTTTTGAAAGCACAAATTCGAAAATTATTCTTTATTGAAAGTATGGATCTTTATAAAACCCCATATTTCCATGTCAAACTTTGTCTTCTAACTTTTCACTGTGCACAGATTGAGATTCTCAAACATGTTCCTGAAGGTGATGAGACCGAGCAAGGCCTTCAACGGGAGCTTCGAGTTCTTAGGTATATTATTTGTTCATGACTACTTTTTAAAAAATCATTTTTTAATACAACCAGGTTTGCTGTATCTAGAGTTAAGAGTTTTCACCCTTGCTGCCTAATTGGTTTATCAGCTTTATTTCACCCTTCTAATGCCAGTCACTCTTTTATATAATAGATGGTATAAAAAGGATAAACCAGATCCTAATGTTGGCGTCATCTGTAATTTACTTTCTTAATAGCATAGAATATATTAAACCTTAGCTTCCAAAGGCAAGTATTAATGGAATGAGAAAAAAAATTCTTTACTTCCAGGGCTCTGTGTAGCATGCTCTTGTGAGGCTTCTCCCTCCAAAACTACTCTTGAAAATGACATAAAGTTTTAAGAAAAACATGGATTTTTAATCTGTGATTTCTGTTTGAGAATGGTAGCACTGCAGTAGTTGAAGCAGATGAACAAATGTTTACCTTTATAAATATTAGCAAGTTCTAAGCACTGTATATCACACAGTTAAAGAAATGCTTAGACCTATTTTGTGGTGCAGTGTCTGGTTTTTGTTTTAACACATTATCATTGTGTTCTAGATTAGCTAATAGTCAGCTGGAAAAAGAAAAAGAAGAATTAATCCATCAGATAGAAATTAACAGAGACCAAAATGGACCTGAAAGTACCACATCTGGTAATGTATTTTTTAACATACTCATAGCATGTTAGCTAACCCAAGTTTTTGAATTAGGGTTTGCCTTGTTTACAGATTTAACTGTCTTCCTAAAATATCAAATCCTTGATATAAGTTTTTAGAGCTGTCTCTTTCCTCCACACAGCAGTATTCCCATTGAGCCCTTTATTTGTAACACTGAGAAGCAAGTATTCAAACCTTTCTCCTTGAGTCCCTTCCGGATGTTACAGATTTATCACCACACAATGCTAAGTAATAAATACTAGGTCTGTTGCTTCCAGTTTCTTAGTATAGGCCCTTTGAAGCCCATTTAACATTTTCTTCTAAATGTTATGTTCATCTTGTTATTAATTTAAAAACTATGTGTGTATAAGCAAACATTGCCTATATCCTTTCTTTTTTCCTTTTACAAAGTCAAGTCTAACCTTCTAGTTTCTATTTGCATTCAGAGTGGTTACTAATCATTTCGCTATTCCAGTGTGCATAGGTAACGTATTAATAAGCAATTGGTAGCTCAGAGGTAAAGCATCTGCCCATAATGCAGAAGACCTGGGTTCCATCCCTGGGTCGGGAAGATCCCCTGGAGAAGGGAATGGCAACCCAGTCCAGTATTCTTGCCTGGAGAATCTCCATGGCAGAAGAGCCTGGTGGGCTGCAGTTCATGGGGTTGCAAAGAGTCAGACGTGACTGAGCAACTAACACACACACACACACATAATGTATATACATGGGTACACATATAGTGAACAGTCAATCCTCATTATTTGCAGATTCTGTATTTGCATATTCACTTAGTACAATTTACTTGTAATCCAACATCAGTCCTGTATGGTACTTCTGCAGACACAAACAGAGCAGTGAGAAATTTAAGTTCTATGATCCACGATTTTCCAGATGAGATTCAACAAGGTGACGCTCTGCGTTTGTGTCAGCTGTCAAAACAGGGATGACCAGAGGGTGGAGACGGCGCTGGGGAGAGCGCACAGGGCAAGAACCTCTGGTTCTGGGACCAGCGGGACTGGGTTTAAGTCTCAGTTCTGATACCTGCTCCTGGGGCAGGCTCAGCAGTCTCCTGACACTTCTGAACCTTGTTTTCTCTTGTAAAACAAAATAGAACAAGTTGTTTCTAGGATGAGTTGTTTCCAGGATTTCAGATATAAAATCTATGTGAGATATATGTGTATATTTTCCCTAAGGACAGTGGTTCAAAATTCACTAATTCATTTTTCATGTTATAGAACTTAACTACTGCAAATAATAAGAATCTGTTGTTTGTATGCATATTGTACTAGACAGCTTGATGGAAATGCCAAATTCTGATCCAAAGGATTTATAGTAACTTATATCTGAGCAGTTTTTTACTATTTCACATAGCTTTTCAGTATCCTATCAAGTAGCTTTTATACAAAACAGCAACGAGACGATCATGTACAACTATCATGGTACAACTATGAGTTGTACCAAACACTATGCTAAATGTTTTATACGCATTTTATAATTCTTATGCGCCTGAATTGTGAGTACTTCTGTCTCCATGTTACCTCGGTTCACAGAGGTTAAGTAACCTGTGCCCAAGGCTGCAGCACTAGGAGGCAGCCAAGGCAGATGGAGCCTGAAGCTGCGGAACTCCAGCGTTCCCTGCCAGTCTCTGCCGATGGCCACTGCACTGCATCTCCTTTGGTGACTAGGAGTCCGTGCACAAACCTCTTCTGACAGCATCTGTCACAGCGGCCAGTCTGGTACGACACTAGGCATGGTACCCAAGAGCTGTCAATGCTGCTGACAGTCAGCAAGTCCTCTCTCTCTAAACTTCAGCCTCCCGAGAGGGGACTTTTGACCCTCATATTCTTTATCTCCTATTTAAAAATGAGGATATCAGTAAGACTGTTAAGGCTCAAAAATCAAATCATTTTGGAAACTTTAAAGCACTATTTAGCTGTAAGTGGTTATTAAGCTAGCTTTTGGAAAGTGCTGTACATTGTACCTGGGCTTCCTAGGTGGCACAGTGGTCAAGAATCCACCTGCCAATGCAGGAGACACAAGAGATGCGGGTTTGACCCCTGAGTTGCAAAGGTCCCTGGGAATAGGCAGTGGCAACCCATTCCAGTCGTCTTGCCTGCAAAATTCCATGGACAGAGGAGCCTGGAGAGCTACAGTCCACGGGTGACAGAAAGTCGGACACGACTGAGCACACGCTTATACATCATCAAGTTTACTGCACTATTTCATTACCCATGTGTGTAATATATAGCATCCCACTGATTAAGACAACTCATATAGCATTTCAGTGATCAAGAATCAACTCTGTAAAAAAAAAATCATTAGCACTTTATGCAAAGGCGAGGAAAGGTTTGAAAAGGATGAGGAAAATACTTGTCTCCAACTTAGAGGAGCATTCCAAGGTCACCTTAATAGAATATGCTTCCTGTTCCATTAATGAAAATGTGTTTGCCATCCATTATTTTCTCAAAACTTAGCATTTTAAAAAATTTTACCTTTTGATGGCTGTATAATAAGACACATTATATGCAGTTTAAAGAAAATGTTTCTAGCCAAGATGGTTAATTAAAGAAAAACTATTGCACATCGACTCTCTTTATAAAATTAGAGATATGTTTAACTCTGGGGGAAATCAATAAATTAAACTAATGCCGTTATGCTTTCTATGTTTTCCTACCAAAACGTCAAGATGTATTCATCTTTGCGTATCCATCCTGCCCAGCGCATTCTTCACACAGTAATTACACAGTAAATACATCCTGACGCACAGGGAACAGCCAGAGCTGCTGGTAGCCGGAGCCCCTTCCCTAATCATATACTTATTCTAACGTTGTACGTTTAGACCTAAAAAATTTTCTTGGTTCTCGAATTTTCCTCCGCAAATAATGATTTCTTCCATGTAAAAAATTAACCTGACTCTATACTTCTGACAACTAGCGTATGTCTCTTTGTTTGCTATGGAATTGTAATCCTTGATATAGAGGTTAGCATACAGAATTCACAGCCTGAACTGATACAGCTATAAAAGGCCACAGGCTCTAGTCCAGGCTCTCGTTCCAGAAGTTTCTTTCTCTTCTAAAATAAGTCCATTGTCTTGAACTCAGAGTGGGAAAAAGCTTAGTCTAATTTTTACTTTGTGGGGGCAGATCCTGATCAACTAAAGGAAAAGGTCAAAGATCTAGAGACACAGCTCAAAACTTCAGATCTGGAAAAGCAGCATTTGAAGGTAAGCATTTAATTGTATCTAATTATGGTATTATAAATATTGTGAAAACAGCTGTTGAAAACTATTTTTATGATCACAATCTCTGAATTTTAAGTTTGTATCCTAAATATTCCTGGAATCACGTTTTATACTTACATTTAAACCTTGATATTAAGGTTTTTATATTCATCTGACTTTATTAAAAATATTATAGAGAACCACCAAAAATTGAGACAGAACAAATGGGATTCTTTAAAGAGTTAATTATTTTTAATTGTCACAAATATAGCTTATTATTTTAATATTTTCCTAAGTTTTGGGAATAGTGTCTTTTTTTTTTTAAATTCTTTTCAGAAATGGTTCACTTAAAGATACTTGATATCTTTTATGCTTTATCTGTTTAAGACTAAACAGAACGAAAGAGCATAAATATGAAAATTAACTAGTGCTCACTGGCTATTCTACCTGGTCATTAAAGCTTGAATTGTTTCTCTACCACATGCTTAACTTTTAGCCAGGCAGAAGCCATACAGTTTCCCTGATCATAAATACACTTATAACAGGTTACCACTATTCATTAAAAATTAGGTACTTGTAAAGAAAATAGAAATGAAGCCTAAACCAAAGAATTGTAACCAAAATAACTTCAGTGTTGTGAATAACTAAGGTTTTTCACTGCCTCACACTGAGAACATCTTAATATTCTTTTGGGGAAAGATTAAATCCCCTCTGATTTAATAGTTGATAAATTATAGTGCCAGACTAGGACATAACTTAAGAGAATAATTTGACTTCTGCCTTATATTTGACTATTCAGGTTTCTTTGGCTTTCATGTTTGTAATTCATTCTCTTTAGTTCATACCTAAAGAATGTATTTTTTTCCTCTGTATACCTTTAAAAGATAATATGTTCTTATTAGGAGGAAATAAAAAAGCTGAAAAAAGAACTGGAAAATTTTGATCCATCATTTTTTGAAGAAATTGAAGATCTGAAGTATAACTACAAAGAAGAAGTGAAAAAAAATATTCTCTTGGAAGAGAAGTTAAAAAAACTTTCTGAACAATTTGGAGTTGAATTAACTAGTCCTGTTGCTGCTTCTGAACAGTTTGAAGATGAGGAGGAAAATCCTGTTAATTTCCCCATATACTAAAAGGCCATCTCTAACTAGAGTTTTATTTAACTATTTACTAACTTTGTAAGTTAAAATTCCATCTGGAAATCAAGCAAGTCTGACCTACATGATTTCCTTCCCAATACCTCATAGCTTTACTTAAACTGGAATTTTTAGTAAATTATATGAAAATTTCAACATATTAGGAAAGTATATTTTTGAAGACTGTTAGGATATGTTATATCTGTCAAATAGGCAATAAGCTATGGTAAATTTTTATACTGGTAAATTTTTATACAATTACAATGTAGTACTAAGTTTTTTAAACATTTAAAACTGGGGTTTTATATATACTTACATATTTATATATGTGTTAAGATTCTCAAATTATGTCTCTGTATGTTATTAAGTTGAGCCATATGTTTTGTTAAATGTCTAGCAATTTTAAATTCAGTTTAAACTATTTAATTTTTAAAGTAATGGTCCAAAATTGTTGGTTTGTCTTTTACACTACCCATGTACAATGGACTGAATCCAACCTTTGTACAAGGTGGAGAGCTTATTATTATATTTTTATTTCCAGAGGTTAAAATTCATTTGCTTTTTCTAAATAAAATTTTGAATAAATATTTGCAGCTGGAAAATTTATTGCTTCAAATGCTAAAAGACATATTGCTATATTAAGACACTGAACAATAAACTAAAAATGAGATATTTTTACCTTATAAACATGGCAGAGTATTCAACACTGAAACAGAACAACAATGAAGCTGGTTTTTAATTGCACTTCCAGTTTATACATTAAGTATTATATCTTTGAGCCTACCAAATTTCTGATTGTCTATTTTTGAAAAATGATTAAATAAACACTTAGCATCAAAGGCATACTCATATTTGTTCAGATTCATGTTGATAAGAACTGGTTTTGAATTCATATAAGTATCTGGGATTGGCCAACATAAACCAAGATGGTGGCGATGGACCTGAAAAGAAAAAAAAAAGTTAGCTTTAGCCTATATTATCTTTACTCACAAATCTTTTGAGTGCCTACTATTTCTCAGCCACTGGGAGTTATTTAAGGCTCCATTTCATCTAACCCTTATTTTTAATAGCTGTTTTCCTCCTGACATAGTACATATTTACTTGCTTATTGTCTATCTTCCCCATTAGAATATAAGCTTCATGAAGGCAGAGACACTGTTTTGTTAACTTTGTACTTTCAGCACCTGGAAACATTCCAGGAACATGATCAGGGGCTCCATAAAAATGGTAATGCATAATAGAGTCTGTTGCTAAATACAGAAGGTAGCCAGTTGAAAAATGTGGGTACAAGTCATTCTAACCAAAGGGAATAACGTGATAGAATAGTGCGTTTTGCTCTGGTTGCAGTTAGTTAAGAACATACACAATGTGTGTATGTTTGAGAGATGGAAGTGGAGAATTCTAGAAATTTTAGCAGGTGCCAGATCATGAAAAATCTTAAATGTCACTACGCAGGGGAACAGTATTCTCATTCATTTGTAAAGAAAGGACAGTACAGGGATAAGACTGAAAGATAATGCTTAGGATGGTGATAAAATAATTCAAGCATGAATCTTGGTTTAAATTAAAATTAACAGCCAATTGGTTGGTGAGAAGTACACAGATACAATAGATGAGAATCTTTCAGAACTGATAATTAGATGTATGAAGTGATGGACAGAGGTGTTAAAAATGATTTCTAAGTTTTTGGCTTAATTGTTTGGAGTCTGGGTTGGTCCAAACTGGATTAGTTCCAGTTTTGAACATTACAGTGTGAACTTGTGTGAAACTAAATAGACAAGTCCAGGACACAGAAAGGGCAAAAAGTGTAAAATAATTCATTCTGTATATATTAACTGTCACCTTGGCACTTAACAAATTCTATAATCAAGCGAGTTTGAGAAATGCTTTCACGTGAAGTCATAATACAGATGATTCAGAGAACACATGTTCAACATGAATTTCCAAGAAGGAATATGCAGTATGTAGGGTCTTCCAGATGTTTCCATCACTTTAATTCTGAAGCACATCTAGAAGAACCAAAGCTCCACAGCATGCATATTGGGAAACAATGTTATCATATAAAGGTGGTGGCACCTGAGATAAAGAAATTACTGCGTATCAGAATTACTGCAATTTGTAGAGTACTGCAGTGCCACTTCTACTTTGTTTCAGGAACATACAATGACATAATCCTACAAATTATTTTCTGCCATTACCTTGATTAAACAGCCATCATTGCAATGCCATACTATTCCTTCAATTTTACCCTCTCTGCAACCATTAAACCAGGACAACAGATCACTGTGCTTCAAGGTAGGTAGATTTCTTATTTGAAATGCTCCATGTGGTATAAGAAGATGTAATGGATGCTTTTTGCTTCCTAACCCTAAAGTGATAAAAATTTGCCATTAGCCATACAGAAGTTTCGAAAAGAATTAGAAAATTTCTCTCTCCAAGTAAAAAAAAAGCCTCTTAAAACACTCAGGAATAAATTTACCAAAAGGTCTGATTACTTGAGAAATATATTACAACTGCCTTCACTCAGAAGTTCGCACTTTATTCCACTAAGTCTAAATTCTACCTTCAAGTGCTCTATACCAGGAGTTGGCAAACTTTAACCTTTAGACCAAATCTAGCGAAATGCCTATTTTTGTAAACTGTTTCAATGGAACACAGCCAACCCATTCATTTAAGTACTGTCTATGGTCTTTCAGAGATATGGCCCCAAAAACTAAATATTCACTATGTAGCCTTTTACAGAAAAGTCCACCAACCAGTGCTCTACACCACTGGCCACAATCATTCAATGTTTGCCAAACGGCCATGCTGTATCTGGTAACTTGCATAGTTACTGCCTTAGCTTCTTTTCACCTGCCAATCAATCTCCTGATCTCTATATTGGATTTTGTTACTACAGCTTTAATGACCTTGGGTCTGTCTTCATCCGCCTGTCAACAATGCTACATAGTACCCTCAGGACTTGTGCTCAAATCATGGTATATATTCTGATGCTTGATACGATATTCATTGCTAATTCTTTCATTTATTTTACTCTTAGCTGTTATAATTAAACTAATTACCTCACTATGAATGGATAAAGATATAGGGTACACATACAGAAAATGGAACATTAGGTATAAAAAAAGAATGAAATCCTGTCAATTGTAATAACATGTATAAACCTAAAGGATATTATGCTAAGTGAAATAACAGACAAGTACTACTAAAAAAGGGAATCTAGAAAACAACTCCAAGTTTATTAGTCACGCCTGTAGTGTGTATTTCTTTCAGTTGAACCTAGGAAGTTTTCTTTATAAGTGACTGCTATAACTAAACAAGAAAAAGGCTTTTACTCACCATAAGGATTTCCATTAATATTGGTTCCTATAAGCTCCAGTGTTTGTTCCAGAAGATCTGCGAGGGGCACTGCACTAATTTCCAAAAGGCCAGGATCATCAGGATGATGCCTCAGGACCAGGGCGATCTCAAACTCATAATTGACTACAGACGAATGCCAGCAGTACTGTTTGTTGCTTTTCTCCACTGGTACCCAACCTAGCATTTAAAGAAACAAGTGCTTTTTTTTTTTTGCATTGTTTTTCTCTGGATTAAGACTAAGGTAATTTTAATTTTTGTAGCAAATTTTCTGGATGTTCTATCACACACAGGTATCATTCAACATCAGTGGAGATGTTAACAGTTTTACTACTTTGTAAATCATCCTCTCTTTTTCTAATCATAAGGTCTCGATTCTGCTGAGGTATTAACCTGTTTGATTATTTACTACAGAGTACCCAGAATTCTTTTTAAAGAAAATTCATATTTTCAATAAGAACTGAGCACCATTCTAAGACACAGCACTAAAACCTTTTTTCAATTTTCTCTCTACCTCCTCTCCAGTTTCAGGGATAACAGACAGATGCAACTGTTCCACAATTTATTGTATTGTTCCAGTATTTATTGAGCAATTTATTGATTCTACATTTGTCAAATGCTATTCCCTTCCTAACTCCTGTTGCCAGATTAGGCTTCTTTGCTGTGGAGAATTCCTTACCAAAAAAAAAAACCAAACTATGACATAAACACTATTATGACCATCACATCTTTGGTATTCATTATTCACCCAGACTACTGTAATAACCTCTTAGCTAGTCTACTACCTCCAACTCCCTACCCTTTTATCACAGTTCTAGTTCAAGAATTTAAATTTAGTTCTGCTGTACTGCTGCTTAACAGTCATCTTTAGGATAAGCTTCACAAAGGTCTTCAACTAGAATGCAAAGCCCTTTAAGATGTGACCCCATTACACATCTCCAGCGTCTACTTTTATAACCCAAGTTATAAACATTCCAGCCACACTAAGGTGTTATTTAAAATTTCCAAAGGATGCCATGACCTCTCCCCTTTGTGAGAGTTTGCCTAAGCTAGCCTCTCATCCCTTGCCAACTAACTTCCTGGTTCTTGAGCTTCAGGATAAATGTCTACTCTCCTTAGGTGACTCTATTAGTCACCACAGGTTGAGGTAGGAATTCTTCCCCTTTTTTCCAACTGTACCTTGTGTATAATTTCCTTCTAGTTCTTAAATCATATTATTATTGGTAAACTTTTTTTTCCTGCTGCCTACAAGACCATCAAGGATAAGGGTTCTGATCCTCATTTTTATGTTACTAAAATCTATGCACATTACAGGTACTTAAAATATATGCATATTGTTAACTTCAGTCTAAAAAGTAAAGGCTTCTTAATATGATTTAATCAGTCATACATCTATCCTGACAATACTTCAAGGCTATTCCCAAACTCAATGCTTTATTAATTTTTACAGACTATAGGTAATAAACTGTCCATCTAAGAAAATATTCTAAAAACTGAAAGGGCATTCTTGATATGAAACATCTTTTGTATAAATACCATGAACCACCATATTAAAATTATATTCTATAATTTTCAATTGCATGTATCTTTTGTTCTTTTTACTAGTAAACACAAAATTGTATTTTAGAAGAGATCTAGTAATACCAGGAATGTGTCCATTTTCATCAGGCATTGGATTCCCATTTAATTGTTCTATTTCCTTCGCTGGTATCCAGCACTCTGGAACAGGTTTGAAGTCCTCCTCAACATTCCAAAAAAATTCTAAAAGAATTAAATAATCTTATGTGTGGTGATACTTTAAACAACATAAAACACTGAACAAATTCAAAGTGGGAACAACTAATGAACCCCTCAAATCAGATACCATATTAATTAGTCTCCATTCATTACCATCACCACACTTCTCAGGGTTAAGGTACTAACACTTCAAATTTTCAGTTTTGAACCCACCATCTGTAAAAGTAGGTTAACAGTCTCATTAAAGCACCCAATGTTACAGTGTGTATAGATTTATGGTGAATTTTTAATGCACTATGAATACAAATATATAAAGATTATATGAGTGGATATATAATGATACGTGTATATATCTACTTAGAGGAATTTAATGTAATAATTAAAACTATTAATAGCCCTTTGAGATTTGTGCCTGATTTATAAAATTACCTACTTGTCTTTGGGCAAACAAAACCAAATGTGTCACTCATAGTAACTTGTATGTTTTAATAAAATTGACAAACTACAATGAAGAGTCACAGAAATGTTAGGAAAATATTTTGAAATATTTTTCAAGAATATTTTTTTACATAAAAAGATACTCAGTTGTAAGTTTTTTCTTTTCCCAAAGTGCTTAAACTGTAAAGACGGATATAATGTATAGAACACCACAGCAAGAAATAAGACAAAAATTTCAACTTAAATCATGAAAAGCTTTAATAAAAAAGAAGTACCCACTAACCTTTTGAGTTTTGTTTTGAATGTAGAAAATTTTTAAATCTTTTCTCAGCTAATTTGTTAGGTTTCCTATCTAGCCGAGCCCAAAGGTATGGCTGACCTAAAAAATAAGAAAAAAAAAGTTTAAGAGGCAACAATAAAATTCAGCTTGAAAGACATTTCAGTATAACCTTTTTCAATAAAGGTAGGGTCATTTCCTCTAAGAGAAACAACTCAAAAGGCAAAGAGAAATATGCAGGATAACAAACAAAACAAATCTGACCCTTTCATAAGGACATCATCCCACAAACATATTAGAAACTAGCAATCCCGAGAAACTGAAGCTATCTCTTTGCTAAACGGAAACATAACCAGAAACTGCATTCACACCTTCTCTAAAAAGTAACTATGTTAAGTTATGCTATGAGGACTAACCCCAAAAATGTGGAGTGAAGCTAAGTTGTTTTACATGGCTTTGACCCCTGGGGTCAAGGCCTCGAACGCTGATGAATAGTGATGCTTTGTAGTCAGGGGTCTGAGACGTTTCAGGGCAGGTACCAGCGTTTTTCTTGACAACAGTGAGACTAAGGAGTTGCACTTGGTCTCACTGAGCCTTCTGGGGGGATGCTGCTGAAGCTGGTTACTTAGCAGGAAGATGCCTTCATGATCAGCAAAAAATAAAAATCCCCAGCTGGGACTCCATTTCAGATTCCCTCTTTCTGAGGTGTTCCCTGCCTACATCAGTAGTGGTCCCTAATTTAAAAAAGTTTGTCTTTCCTAGATTTGTCAGGAAGGTAAGAGAGGTGTCAGGGAAGGACCACAGATGCTTTCACAAGGTCTCATCAGACCCTTCACTGACAGTCTCTGGTTGTGATGTGCACCCTTTGAATCCTTAAGTTTCTTAATATAAATACATGCCTGTGTGCTAAGTCATTTTAGTCATGTCTCACTCTTTGTAACCCTATGGACTGTAGCCCACCAGGCTCCTCTGTCCATGGGATTCTACAGGCAAGAATACTGGAGTGGACTGCCTGGCCCTCCTCCAGGGAAATCTTCCTGACCCAGGGATGGAACCCACTTCTCTTATGTCTCCTACATTGGAAGGAGAGTTCTTTACCACTAGTGCTACCTGGGAAGCCCATAATATAAATATAAAATCCTAAAAAAAACTTTCAGTTTCTTCATATATAAATCAGTTATTTGAAAAATTATTGATTACAGTTTGGGTAAGGCATTCTACATTACGTATTAGCTATACCAATAAATAATATGAAGAACCAGATTAAAACTACACTGTCATTTCTGTTGAATGAACCTTTTGTTCTTTTTAAAAATAAACATAAAAAATGCACTGCACACCCATTAACATGGCTACTATCAAAAAAATAGAAAATAACAAGTGTTGGTGAAGATACGGAAAAGCTGGAACTCTTCTATACTCCTGGTAGGAATATAAATAGTGCACTTGCTACAGAAGACAGTACGACAGTTCCTCAAAAAAAAAAAAAAAAAAAAAATTACTATATGATCCAGCAATTCTACTTTTGGATATATACCCTAAAGACTGAAAAGAGGGATTCTAAGAGAGATCTGTGTACCATGTTCATAGCATGGTTGTTCACAACAGCCAGTAGGTGGGAGCATCCCAAGTGCACACTGATGGAAGAACAGTATACACACACAACCATGTGGTATACACAAACATGTGGTATTCATCCTTTTATAAAGGAAGGCAATTCTGACATGCACTACAGCATGAATGAATCTTAAGGACAATATGCTAAGTGAAATAAGCCAGTCACAAGGTGACAAATACTCTAAGACCTCACTTACATGAGTTATACCTAGTCAAAATCCTAGAAACAAAGTAGTGTGTGAAACAGGGTGGGAGGCTGAGTTATTTAAAAGGTATAAAGGTTCAGTTTTGCAAGATGAAGAGTTTTCGAGATGCATGGTGTTGACAGCAACACAGCAATGAGAACTGTACATACCACACTGAACTGTACACTTAAAAATAGCTAACATGGTCAATTCTATGTTATGTGTATTTCATCACAACAAAATGAAAAAAGATGCACTTCAGAAGAGATTTCCTATTATGAAGACTGTATCCAATATGCATTTAACTTTTATTTCTCTTGCTGGAATTGAGAAGTAATTTCAATATCCAGAAAAATAATAACAAAGATTATTTCTCTCTTTTCAATGCATTTTTTTCCATAACATAGTTGACAATTTTGATTTGAATTTCTATCTCTTTTAAAGTACATTAAAATGAAACAAATTAGAGACACTGACAATAGTAATAAAACAATTGAATTAGCACTGGGATCAGCAGAATAAGAACAAGCTTTAGGGTCACATAAACCTAGGTCCTATTACCAGTTGAGCCTTCATTAATTAAATGGTCTTGAACAAATTATTTATGTTCTCTGAGCTTTAGTTTCTGTTTCAGTGAAATGGGAGAGACTTATTGTGCAGATAGATAAAGATAACACATAAAGCATTTATCATACTGTCTGGCCCTTAACCACTATTAAGTAAATATTAACTTATCTTCCTTTCTTCCCCCAAGAGAAAGATACAATGGTATATAGCAAGTATAATGTATCAACTTTATTTATTTCCCCATTATACTTAAGTTTCCAAGGGTTTATGAAGAGCACTTCAGATATATACAGTTTAAGTGATTAAGAAAAATAAATAATATTTGTAGTACAGTTTTATTTTACCTTTGTAGTTAGTAACATAACAACATGTTCCATCCACTTTTTCTGTTGGAATTGCATTGTATATATCTGCATCTAATGCCTTGTGACTTACAGTTTCAGTTGCCAAAACTTTAAATGGCTTAAAAGAGAAAGAGAAAACTGGTTTAAGATAAACAGCCTCTATGCCTTCTACATGCTCTCACCTGGAAGTTTTTAATTTCCCTAGTTCCAAGGTATGATCACCAGTTTATCCTTCAAAGTATTTCTCCTGTAAAGTCCTTGTAAGTCATCTCCTCCTCTTCTATGCTATCACAGCAATACATATTTGTCCACCGAGATTTGTTAAGTACAGTTGACTTGACCAACACGGGTTTGAACTCCATGGGACCACTTACTCGCAAATTTTTTTTCAATAGTAAATACTGAAGTGCTACACACAGTTAGTTGAATCCTCGATGCAGAAGCCTTGTTACGGAGGAAACTTGAATATGAGGGCCAACCACAAGTTATACTCGGATGTTAGGGGATCGGAACCCGAATCCTGGCCTTGTTCACAGGTCAACTGTATCCACATGTTTCTTTACCCACCATAATGAGCTTGACACCAGGAATTATATCCTATGCAGAGCTGCATGCCTAGCTCAGGTGTTACGTGTGTTCATTTACTTGATAATCATTTGCTAAAAGCCTCCAAAGGGTTAAAGCACTGTCCTCAGCACTAGGATAGAGGTCAAAGGCACCTGCCTTCGGTGGAACATTGATTTTAAGGAAGGAGACAACAGTCATAAAATGCATAATACAATGTTAAGTATGTTAAGTGCTAAGGAGAAAAACGGGCACCGTTCAGCTTTATCAGTAGTAAATCGCGTTTTAAATTTATGATTTGCTTACTGTCAGGAAGCCAAAAGAGCATCAAGAATGAAAGGGAAAAAAGTTCCAACCAACTTAGTGATTTCACTTCTGAGAAAGACTATGCCACCGTTTTACAGTCTTTATGACACTTTTATCTGAAGGAAGACCTGCACCCTAGGGCCGCCCGAGCGGAACCTGCAGGGCGGCTCTACCGCGCCTGGAAACGCTCGCGGGTTCAAATGCAGCCCGCGCCGCGAGGAGGAGCCCACCCGTGGCCGCCCCGCGGGCCCGGAGGGCCGAACCCGCGCTCCTCGGTACCTGATGCTCCCTTTTGGTGGAAGGCTCCTCTTTCACCTCCGTCACAAACACACACGGCATTTTCCGCTGCACCGACCCCAAGCGCCTCATGATGGGTCCTCAAGCAGTGTTAGTGGAGAGGGCCCTTCCGAACAGCGCCGGGTCCTGACCAGGGGAGCGTCCAGAGCGGTCAGCCGCGTAGTCAAGTCGCGAACACGCCGCGAGCTTGCCAGACAGCAGCGCTCCCCATTTCCCCGGTTCCAAGCGTAAGACGGGGACGCACGCCCGGAAACGGCCTCCTGGCCGCGGAGCCTTCTGGGAGTTGTAGTGCGGAAGCTGAGGTACCTTCGTGTGCGCTCTCGAGAGCGTCCCTCAGGGTTCTAGTGACCGTGAAAATACAAAGATCCGTTTCTGGTTTTATCCGTTTCTGGTGTGTGTGTATTATTAGCCGATGATATTTATGAAAATTAAATGTTATCAAGTGATAAGTAATGAATCATTTCAGGTGGCTATTTAACATCATTTTGATGAAACCGACTTGCGTGTTCCCTTTAATATGTTCCTGGGGAAAGCACTGTAGAAGCTTAGAAATATCCGGTGACATCTCAAAACGAAATGAAAAGTAATTTCCCAGGAAAAATGTTAGAAAAAACGCTACAGTTAAAACACCTGGGGCCAAAAAAAGAAAGAAAATTACCGTTTGATTTACGCCTCATTGTAAGGCATCATTTCAGTTCAGTTCAGTCGCTCAATCGTGTCCGACCCTGTGACCGCAAGAAACTGCAACACTCCAGGCTTCCCTGTCCATCACCGAGTCCCAGAGTTTACTCAGTATGGTCGAAATTGTTTCTGGTGTTTTTTGTTTTTTTTTTTTCCCCAGAGTGAGTGCAAAGTTTAGCATTAGACCAGTTCCAAACCACGGGAATACCAATAACCAGATTTCAGTCTCAATTTTTTCATAGGAATCTCAGTTAAGTTTGAGCTCCAACAGAGTTGGAATGGCTTGAGTACTTGTCAAGCAATCAACTGCAGAGCTAAAAACACTGACTTACTCCTCAAAAGAATTTCGGAGGGTAAGTAATAACAATCAATGGCTGAAAAAATAGATACATTTTTAGTAATAGTAGCCTTTCTCACTGAAGCAAGTAGTCCGGAGTAGGGACTTTTAATTACTGCCATCTTTTAGGTGCTTTGACAATGCCCGAGTCTCTTTTTTTTTTCCCCCCGAGTCTCATTTTTATAATTGTCTTATCTGCAGGTATCAAAGTGCCCAGCATTTTCCTGATTTAGCCCTCAGGAAATTAAACTACTATATTTCACTTGGAGGTATCTATGTATAAGGGAATTCCCAAAGAATAAAATAACCCTCAAAAAAAGTCACTGTTTTTTGATTGCTGGATTCAGAGGGGAGGGAGGGAAGAAGAGATCTGCCTTTAAAAAGTATTTACTTTTTTTTTTACTATCTTTGACTTTCTCATAGGAAAAATAAAATAAATTTAAAAAGGGCTTCAGGGGGTGAAGGGGTTGGGGGGGGGGTCCGGTGGCTGTAAACACCTAATGTAAGATCCTGAGACCAGAAAGGCCTTAACATTGTATAGTCAAAAACCAGTGACTTTTTGCTCCTCCACAGGAGTCCTAAACAGAGCTTGTTTCATAGGACTCAAGGAGGCAACAATGAAATAACTCTTAAAACTTGCAACTGTCATTTCCCAAACTGCCACAGAATCTTTTAGGTCCAACCTTCTATCTTTTCTGAAGATCATCTTCCAAAATATTCCACTTGCTGTTTGAAACTAGCAGCAAAGTTAACCCAAGTTTTAAGAAGCAAAGCTAACCCAACTTTTAAGAAGCAAAGCTAACAGAAGTTTTAAGAAGCAAAGCTGACCCATGTTTTAAGAAGCAAAGCTGACCCAAGTTTTAAGAAGCAAAGCTGATCCATGTTTTAAGAAGCAAAGCTGACCCATGTTTTAAGAAGCACTCTATTTCTAATGCCTTGGTTTCATCAGTGCCTAGAGTAAAGCCCCCAGCAGAAAGAGGTAGTCCAACACTAGGGGAAGCCATTGGACCAGTTCACACTTAGAGTCTGGACTCCCACTTTGACAAGGAGCAGCCCGCCCCTTTGATTCTCCTAAGTCTGAAGAGCCAGCAAGGACGGACTACCAGCCCCAGTACTTAAAGTGGTGTTACAGGATTCCACAATCTGAAAGAAAGACTTTTTTCTCTAATGTGTTAGTGTTCTGACATGAACCCAAAATGAAATATTCAGTGCAGAGTATACTTTGGCCAACACACTCAAAAAACAAAATTTGCAGAACCACCCTGAGTTGTGCAGGCAAATTTCTCATAACTCTGCTTTACTCACTATAGAGAAAAGTCATCCTGGGTATGGTCATAGCTTTCTCTGAAAAACTAGAAGGAATTTCACAACAGGAAAGAAGTGAAGAGAATAAGGAAAAGGTGGGGGAGAGAGTAGAAAGAAAGGAAAGGAAAAGAGAGCTGGAAAAAAGATGAAATTAGGGTTCCAGGCATGCTAAAGACTACCAAAATTCACAGATCTATTTACAATGACCCCCCCCCAAAAAAAAAATCCCTTTGTGGGTTTGTGTTTTTGCTGTTTCTAATGGAACATAGTTGTTCAAAACTAACTTCAAGAGGTAAGGCATTTTTTCAGCCTTTCTCTTATGTAAAACATGGATTCTCACAATGGCTTTAATCATGATGTTAATGTAATCATGCAATAATGGTGTTTGGTAACAGTATTTGATAATAGTACAATGCAGCTAGCTGTAAGTTCATATGTGGAAAGGAAGTTTATCTGGAGGCAAAGACCACTTTAAAGCTGTTTCTTAGGGGTGTTTCTCCCAGTAAGCTATGTGCTTGAGACGGGTGCATTGTTATTCTAGAATTAGAAGGTAGGGCAAAACAAAAGTTGAGATGTTCGATTTTTCTATATATCACTGCTAATATTTTCAAGGATTTAAGTCAAGTTTTTATTTTCTACTTCATTAACTTTCAATGCTGCATGGCTCTTTTTGCTTTTCATTTTTGATTTTATTATTTTCCCTTATAATTCTTTTCTAAATTTTAGCATACTTTCTAGATTTTTATTCTAAAGCAGTGCACTCAAGTTCATACCAACTTATTCTGTTTCACTTAACCAAAGTGAATATATGTCTTGATCTTGTAAATTTCCAATTAAAAGTACAAAGGCATTTAAAAATACATGCTGATCTATTGTAATTTCTCATCTCTATGGCATCTCCTAAATTACCTACTATGAATATTTTTATTAATTTCTTCTAGGTTCTAGTTTTTAGTAAAGATACTAAGATGAAGAAAGACCTCAGTAACTGCTGATTGAAATGTCTCATTCTGGGAATTGGAGTACTTCACTTTGCTTTCAACAAATTCTCAAAATTTGCAAGCATCTGGAAACTTACTGCTATAGGAAGAAGCTCTTTCCCTTGTAATGATGGATGAAGAATGAATGGACTATAGCTACAAGATGAATAAGTAGTCCAGCTTATTTTCAGGTACTATTAAATATCCCAATCTGAATGGTTTTTCTCCCAAATCAGTGGATAGTGGTGAGTACATAATTTTGTTTTTATCTTGAAATATATATAGCATATTTACTTATATAAAATTTTTAGTTTTGTTTTCAAATCATACATAGAAATAAGTCTAGAAAATAAGTAACTTGTAAAATATTTAATACTTCTTAATTATGAAAGTATGACCTAGTTTATATTCTATATTTAATCAGAACATTGAAGGATAAAATACACCATTTTATTTGTATTAGCTTTTTCCAGCCAATAACTAAATTGAGTAACAGAAATACTGTACAGTATTCACTAAGGTAAACTAGCCTACAGTTAGATGTGAGGTCATTTATGATGAGCAAATAATGAATTAGGTAACAATGAGGAAAATTCTGGAAGTTTGAGTTTGTGTGCTTACTAGCAACCACTTTCAACATTTCTGCAAAGCTAGAGAAGGTATCTTCTAATTTAAATTTCTTTAAGAATTATCTATTGTGTAATATACTGCCAACAGGAGGTCAGTTTTAAAGGACTACTACTGATAGCCTGAAAGACTGTGGAAAAGAAATTCTTTTTCCCCTTACACACTGATAGTTCTTATATTTGCATTCCTGCAATTCTTATATTAAAAAACATTGGATTAACAGCAAGAGAGTTGAAAATGGCAGAAGTTGGGAATGACTGCTATTTCTTTTTTAATTCCGCATGCATAAAGGTAAATATTGTACAACTTATGGTACATATTCCACATGCTTAAGCTTTTTAGTAGAATGAAGGAAAATATGGCAACAGTTTATTTGCATGGCTGAGTCAAAATTTACTATTTTCCCACAAAATATTGTACATACTTAAAATATGAAGTAAAACCTTATCATGTATTTTTGATATGTTGAGTTTCTCTGAGGAAATCTGGTAATATTTAAAATTATCTGAAACTACCCTTCTGTGTGCCAGTTACAAGCCTATGGCTTTTTAATCCTCATGTGGTACTTTTGCCTATATTATGGCTCCTTGAAACATCAAATTACTAATATTGAAGCATATGGTATTTTGGTTAATGTGATTCCAGTCATATAAATTCAAATAGTTAAATTCAGGTTCACTATCAAACTCAGTTTAATAAATCTAATTGATTCCCTATTTTGGAATTTATTAATGAAATTATTGAATTTTCCTTTGTCAAAGTAATAGTAAATAATTAATATCATGGAAAAAGGCAAAAGATAATACAAATTGGCCAAACAAGAATTCAAGTTTACAAAGTTAAAATGGGGAAAAATGTCTAAGTGATTTGGATTAGTGGATCTCAATGAAGCCAAATAAATGTAGAAATTCAATGTTTGGAGCTTCATGTTCATGTCAGAATGAATCCAGTGAAAGGCATGCTGTGTCTGGTTTGAAGCATTTCATCTCTGCTAGGACAACGGAATAGAGTCAACCTCTTAGACTTTAAGAATTAGATCCACTTCTATTACCTGTTACCTTAAGATTAAACCCTGGGATGATGATAAATAAGAGAATTTATGTTCCACGTGGGCAGAGAATTTTGTCTGTTTCACTGCTATATCCTCAAATTCTAAGTTATCAATAAATAATTAAATGAAAAAAGTAAAAATAATAATAGCAATCACATTACTGTATCTCCCATAATTTTTACAACAATCTGTGAGAAGGGCATTTTATTCCCTTTTTACAGGTAAGGAAACTGAGGCACAGAGAGTGAGTAATGGATTGATTTTGTGATTATGGGCAAAATAGAGTCAGGCATTCAAATACTGGTTTATCTGGTTTCTGCCTGCTCTCCAGGTCTATGAGATCTACAGAGCCACCTTAGAAGGGAGAGAGAGTGAAGACAGACAGTAAGAAGGTGGGAAAAAAAATAGGGAACAACCCTGAAACCTGTCAAAAAAGGGATGAGCTTAATAGGATATGTTTACTTTTATTCTATGTCACCCACCCTCTGCCAAAAAAGACAACGACCCGCAATTTTCCCAGCTGTTGATTTGTGTGTAAAAGATATAAGAAAAAAAGAGCAGCCCATTCAAATAATCAACATCTGCTTTTGTTGAGATATAATGATGTAAATTTATAAATATATATGTGTGTATAGCTTAGCACAATGTGCTAAATATTTTAAATTTCACAATAAAATAAAGTTTAAACTCTGTTTACTTTCCTTCTATAAGCACACTTAACAGTATGTTCCTAATCTGAGTGAGAAAAGTTATCTAATACGTTATGATTAATAGAGATCATCTCCACGATTAGAATATGGATGATGACTTAAAAATAATTTTGGCTTTCATAAGGAAAATTAGATCCCTCTGTCATTAGATTGTGATCAAGAGTATCACTGACCTTTTATATATTTATCCTTAGCCATATGGATTAACTCTTAACAGGAAGGAGAATTATTATCAGTGACTGATGGAATGTACTATTTAATCATTAGATTATTTTATCAGTCTCTAAAATTAGACTACTTTGCTAAAATTTAGACTTGATGGTCTTGGATTTGTGGTATTTTTTAATTTTAATTTGACCTCATATTTTATTTAGTTGATTAGTAATCTATTGTTAAACACTGACATTCATACATTGAGTTTTCTACACTGTTTACTTTTTTCTTTTAGGGTTCCCAGTGCCGATTCCGACACTGCGAAGAGGCTCTTGGCAGTGACACTGTGTGCGCATTATGGAGAGAGGGAAAATGTTTAGATCCACTTTGCAGATTTAGACACATGGAAATGCAGGTAGAATTATTCAACATTATCATGTTTGTTAAAAGCATCTCCCTCCGATAAGATTGAACTCTGTACCCTTACAACACAATAGAAAAGAAATTATTCTTTCCTCCAATGACTTAATTTTAGGCATTTTACACTTTGCTCAACTTAAATTCCTAAAAAAATGGGCAAATGTGTTGGAGGAGTATCTATTGCATCCTTTAAGTAACAGAGCTTGGAAATGAAGCCTAGACACACACACAATCCTAAATCAGCAATTACAGCAGTTTTTGTTATGTTGTGTGGTAGCACATTGTATTTGTTGTGATTATGGCATCTCATCATTACATTTGCCTCCCCTCTTTTATCTAGCAAAACTGCAGTATTTCATGCTTCTGGGAAACTCAACCTCTCGGTTGTGTGAAGATCAGTTGTATCTTTTATCACAGCAAACCTCGAAATATCAATGGATTATTTTTGCCACCAAGTAGCAGTGAGTATATTTTTTGAATAACATGGTTATACCGTATTATAATCTGATTTTGGAATAGCAACATAGAATGACACGTTAAATAAAGTATAGCAAGGTGAGTAATACAGTTTAATAGCCAGTGGATGATTTAGGATGGTTATATCAAGAATTATGAGAATGAGCCATCAAGTAGCTAACCAAATGGAATGACCAGAGTTAGTTAAATTTTCTCTGACTGTGTTTCTAAAGTGGACTTTATTCATGTGAAAAGTGAGATGACTGCTGCCCTCACTGGATAAAGGGGAGCTGTCTCAGCAATTCTTCATATGACTGGAGCAAGGCTGGGAGGTTCTGGCCTCACCGCTGCTCCCCGTAAATGTGCAGAAACCTCTGCTACATGGGAGAGCAAGGGCATGCTCTGGCTTTCATGCTTCTGCTTCTAGAAGAGCAGCTAGATGTGTGGTTCTTCCTAAGACTTCATCTGTGGGGAAGATGCAATCCCATTGTTGCTAAATAAGTGGCATCCTTGAAACCAACTAAATGCTACTGAGACTCGACTGCACGGTGAACCTTAAACTAAGTTATGGGAAAGGGGTATGGAAGACACCATGTCCCATGACAGTGAGTGGCAGGAACTTTGAAAAGCTGGGAGAGTCAGGTTTCTCTGATGCTGTAGCCGCTTCCCTCTCCTGCCATGGCCACCATATTTCTTATAATGGAATTATTCTAGAAATGAGCTTACAGAGTATCAGTCCTTTGTATTTGAAAATTTGGCTTCAGATAATCCTTGGCAAGTGAATGATTAAAAACCATGTCTCTTTGTTATAGTCTTCTGGAAAATGCTGTCCTCAGAGCATTCTTCATACATGTAATACCTGGATCAATGTTTTTCTTCACTAGCCTGTAAACATAATAAGGATGGCTAGTTTCCCTACCAATGCTTAGCACAATGTCTGGAGCCCAGATGCTCAGTAAAATTGGATGTTTGGATAGATGGATAGGAGATATGGGTAGAAGGTAGGAGGAAGGGGATGACAGAGGATGAGATGGTTGGATGTTATCAACAGCTCGATGGACATGAGCTCGAGCAAGCTCCAGGAGTTGGTGATGGACAGGGAAGCCTGGTGTGCTGCAGTCTATGGGGTCGCAAAGAATTGGACATGACTGAGTGACTGAACTGAACTGATAGATGTGTAGATGACTACTGAAGGTAACCTCCTGGGATGAAAGTTATTACACCTACTAAGTGGTTAACTTGGTCCCATTGTTTAACATCTAGTGTGATTTTATTTCATTAAGAACATTGTATTAAATTCTCTCTATATAGTGTACTAGCTTACTTCCTAATGGTCTATGGGTAAAATTGCTATCTTTCAAACTAATTATTTCAGTACTAGAGGAAAGACTGCATCTCTGAGGGCAAAGGAAAGGTAGGATGTCTGTGGAACAAATAGTGGGCTCCCCACTGTAAGACATGTCCTCGGCTAAGTTCTCTAGGGACACACTTCATTACTCTCATATATTAGGCATAGAATCTGGGGGTCAAAAATAGATTCTGGCTTTACTGGAAGTTAACACATATCAAAACTGCCCCTGACTCTTGGAATAAGCTTTCCCCTCTCTTGACAGGGTCAAACCAGACCCATGCACTGATTTTGGAAGGACCAAATCCTTCCCCAAACACTCTAGAAATCATTATGAGAGGAGATAAGCTCTGCTTTCTCTTTGCAACTTCCCTATCATTTTCTCAGATCTATTTCTTCACTACATCTATTGTTTGTCTGACTTCTCCCTATAGAATGAAAAGTCCGTAAATAGGAATCTTTGTTAACTGATAAATTCCAACCACCAAACATAGAAACATAGTATTACCTTTCACATAGTGGCCAATTCTATTCCAGGAAGGCCTGAAAATATTTATTCATGTTAAGAAGGTAACTATTTTTTCTCTGCCCAGGCATATTTCTGTGCTTTAGGAAAGAGGATTCAATTCCCAGGCTGTAGGAAACTGCTACGCTGGAGAAGGAAATGGCAGTATTCTTGCCTGGAGAATCTCAAGGACAGAAGCCTGGCAGGCCACAGTCCATGGGGTTGCGAGAGTCAGACACAACTCAGTGACTAAACCACCACCACAGAAAACTCCTAAGCTCATTTGCATTATGTATTGAATTACTGGATCATCTATTCATTCTAAGAATATTTCAATACCTCAGAAGTTACAATGTGATCTTTTGTAGACCTAATATTTCCTAAAATATTTCCAGAAACATCTACCTACCAAGGTTCATATTAACCAAAACCAGGAAAATAAATTGTCTCACCTTAGACAAAAATTAAATTACAAAGTTATAACTTTATTAAAATCTACCTTTATATTTCAGTGGGTACATGTGATTGACAGATTCAGGGTAGGATTGTGACAGGGTTTTATTTGGTAGCAAAATATAACTATTGTTTCATACATGGCATCCGGTGTAAGTTTGTATCCAGTTAAAATAAGATAAAATCTAGGTATTTAAATGTGTAAACTGTGAAATTTTCTAAGGCTTCTGATCAAGGAATTGAGACCCATCATGTGGTCCATATTAAATAGGTGAGTTGCAGCTGTAGCAATGCTATCTAAGTTACCAGCTGTGTTCTTCCAGAATGAGGTGTTTGCCAAAAGCAATTTTCCATTAGTTAATTTGCCATTGTCTGTTATCTTTAAGGACCAAGTTCAATTATCAGGAGTCTGACATTTTTTTGTCTGGACGTGTAAAACTGCCAGTTAGTCTTTTTGCAATTTAAACTTTAATCTGCTAACAAATTAAAAAAAGGTCTTGGACTCTTTTGAAAAAAGATTTCATTTAAATGTTGTTAAACCAGACATTTTCAAAGGCAGCCTAATCCCTCTGGTTATCATCTCTAAGTTTAGAAGCAAATAGCTGTTAAAACCAAATGATAGTGCTAAGAAAAACATAGCTCAGTTAATATTTGCTCTAATTGTAAGAATTTGCTAGGCATTTCTGAGTATATTTTGCATTTTCTTTGTGAGCTTGATGGATTCTTGTTCTTTCTCCCATGGTACACAGTAGAGGTTAGTGTACCCAAATGAAATTTTCCTCTTAAGAAGCTCCTTAAATTTTGCTAAGGGACAATTTATTCAAAACAGAGTAGCTCAAACATTGAAGCAAATGCTCATATCCTTGGGAATTTGCCATGATATTCTAAAATGAATACCTGAAAGGATAATTTGATTTTTATTTATTCTGAGTCACTGTCTTGGAGATGCCTTGGACAACTGACTACTTGACCACATTAAATGAATCTTGGGTCAGCTCACTTTACAAGGTCTTGCCTAAATGAATATGTGTACATGACCTTTTCATTATGTCTTAAAAAACCATTGTCTAATGTTTTCAAAATAATTTAACAAACATCTTGACTTGAATATTTGAATCAGTAAAACACAGACTAGTTTTGTGTGTGTGTGTGTGTGGATAAGACACAGAGTAAGACAACTGTTAATAGTAATAAGAGGAAAAACTGTTCAATGAACACCTAACCATGTACTCTTCACCAGGATTCACCAATTTATCAATTTATTTTCTCTTTCCCCTCTACTGTACTTACATATGCACAAAAAATGTACAAACATACATTTCTGTCCTTGTTTTTGAGCCATTTGAGTGTTAGTTGCAAATATTGTGACAGTTTATCCCTAAATGCATTGACATAGATCTCCTATGTTTAAGAACACTCTCAGATATAACCATGGGCTTCTGAAGTGGCGCTGGTCCCACCTACCAATGCACAGACACAGGTTCGATCCCTGGGTTGGAAAGATCCCCTGGAGTAGGAAATGGCAACCTGCTCCATTATTTTTGCTGGAAAAATCCATGGAGAGAGGAGTCTGATGGGCGATGGTCCACGGGGCCACAAAGAGTTGGATGCAACTGGGCACACATATACCTAACCACACTACACAACCATCACACACAGAATCTTTACTCATATATCCCACGGTTATTGAAAATAATCTAGTATTTGTCATTTATTTAGGTTATTTTTAGCCTTTGGTAAGTACAGAACCTGCTCTTGTGAACATTAAATCAAAGTAGACCACAAAGACCTAAATATGAGCTAAAATTATACAATTCTTACAAGAAACTATAGACTACTCAAACAATTCTTAGTTATGGCACCAAAAGAAAAAAAAAAACAAGCAGTAAAAAAATTAATTGGATTTCATCAAATTAGAAACTTTTGTGTTTCAAAGAATATCATCAAGAAAGTAAAAGTATAACCCACAAAATGAGAGAAAATATATGCAAATCATATATCCAGAATATATGAAGAACTCTTGCAGCTCAGTAATACAAAGACAATTCTGTTACAAAATGGGGAAAGAATCTGAATATACATTTCTTAAAGATATAAAAATGGCTAAAAGATATATACATCTGAATGCAGAGTTCCAAAGAATAGCAAGGAGAGATAAGAAAGCCTTCCTCAGTGATCAATGCAAAGGAATAAAGAAAAACAATAGACTTGGAAAGACTAGAGATCTCTTCAAGAAAATTAGCATGAGACAAGTGCTCAGGGCTGGTGCACTGGGATAACCCAGAGGGATGGGATGGGGAGGGAGGTGGGAGGGGGGATCAGGATGGGGAACACATGTAAATCCATGGCTGATTCATGTCAATGTATGGCAAAAACCACTACAATANTCTGCTTCATTGACTACATTAAACTAAAGCCTTTGACTGTGTGGATCACAACAAACTGTGGAAAATTCTTCAAGAGATGGGAATGCCAGACTACTTTACCTGCCTCCTGAGAAATCTGTATTCAGTTCAAGAAGCAACAGTTAGAACTGGACATGGGACAACAGACTGGTTCCAAATTGGGAAAGGAGTATGTCAAGGCTGTATATAGTCACCCTGCTTATTTAACTTATATGCAGAGTACATCATGAGAAATGCCAGGCTGGATGAAGCACAAGTTGGGATCAAGATTGCCAGGAGAAATATCAATATAAGATATGCCAATGACATCACCCTTATGGAAAAAATGGAAGAAGAACTAAAGAGCCTCTTGATGAAAGTGAAAGAGGAGAGTGAAAAAGCTTGCTTAAAACTCAACATTCAAAAAACTTTAAGATCATGGCATCTAGTCCCATCACTTTATGGCAAATAGATGGGGAAACAGTGACAGACTTTATTTTCTTTGGCTCCAAAATCACTGCAGATGGTGACTGCAGCCATGAAAGTAAGACACTTGCTCCTTGGAAAAAAAGCTATGACCAACCTAGACAGCATACTAAAAAGCAGAGACATTATTTTATCAACAAAGATCAGTCTAGTTAAAGCTATGGTTTTCCAGTAGTTATGTATGAATGTGCAAGTTGGACCATAAAGAAAGCTGAGCACTGAAGAATTGATGCTTTTGAATGTGGTGTTGGAGAAGACTCTTGAGAGTCCCTTGGACAGCAAGGAGATCAAACCAGACAATTCTAAAAGAAACCAGTCCTGACTGTTCACTGGAAGGACCGATGCTCATGCTGAAACTCCAATATTTTGGCCATCTGATATGAAGAACTGATTCACTGGAAAAGACCCTGATGCTGGGAAAGATTGAAGGCAGGAGGAGAAGGGGACAACAGAGGATGAGATGGTTGGATGGTATCACCGACTCGATGGACATGAGTTTGAGTAATCTTGGCGTTGGTGCTGGACAGGGAAGCCTGGCATGGTACAGTCCATGGGGTCACAAAGAGTTGGACATAACTGTGCAACTGAACTGAATAAGCTCATGAAAAGATGCTCATTGTAACTAACCGTTCAGTTCAGTTCAGTTCAGTTCAGTTCAGTTCAGAATCACTATGTGTGCATATACAAGTTGCTTCAGTCATGTGCAGCTCTTCCTGACCCTAAGGATTGTAGCCCACCAGGCTCCTCTGTCCATGAGATTCTCCAGGAAAGAATACTGGAGTGGGTTTCTGTGCCCTCCTCCACGGGATCTTCCCGACCCAGGGATCAAAACCATGTCTCTTATGTCACCTGAATTGGTAGGTGGGTTCTTTACTGCTAGAGCCACCTACAAAGCCCCCAGAATCACCGTATGTCCTACTTATTCACTTCTAAGTATATATCCAAGAAATGTGAAAACATATATCCTCAAAAAACTTGTACAACAATAAATATGCATACTAACATTATTTGAAACAACTAAAAAAGCGGAAATAAACCAAGTGTCCATCATTTGACGAATGGAAGAATTGTGGTATATGCACACAGTGAAATATTATTTGACTATTAAAAAACACTGTGATGGGACTTCCTTGGTGGTCCAGTGGCTAAGACTCAGCACTCTCAATCCAGGGGACCCAGGTTTAATCCATGGTCGGGGAACGAGATCCCATATGCTGCAACTAAAGATCCCTTGTGCTGCAGCAAAGAGCCAGTGCAGCCAAATAAATAAATATTTTGAAAGCACAACACTATGGTAAGTTGAAGAAGTCATGTACAAAGGACTACATACTATATGATTTCATTTATATGAAATGTCCAGAATAGGCACATCCGTAGAAATAGAAAGTATACTAGTGCTTGTACAGCTGGGAACATCGGGCAGACATGAACAATAACTGCTAATAGGTATGGGTTTCTTTTTTGAGGTGATCAAATATCCTAAAATTGATCATGGTGATGTTTGCACACCTCTATGAATATACTAATAAAACCATCTAAATGTGTGAATTTTATAGTATGTGAATCTCAAGAAAGCTTTTAAAAAATGGGACTAACATTTAGTAACATTTGAATGTTCAGTGAAGCTTTTCTTTGCAGCTAATGACAAATCTTGAGAATAGGTATTTAGAATAGCTGAAAAGTTCTGTTTAAAGCCATCTTTTTCCTTCAGAATTTCTTACTGGTGCTCTATTTTCATTGATGCCACGAGACTTTTCTTCAAGTATGACATATTCTTTAACAAGAGTCTAGAAATGGAGGAAGCAAAAATTTTCAATAAAAATTCTTAACTGCCAACATACTCTATCATGAATGTGAATTCAGACCATTCCAATGTAAACACCAATAGCACTTTTGTTAATACCATGTGTATTTGTTTCCTGTTACTGCTGTAACAAATTATCCCTAACCAAGTGGCTTCAACAACTCAATTTTATTAGCTTATAGTTTAGGAATTCGATGAAATCTCTCTGAATTAAAATTAGGATGTCTCCAGGGCTGCATTCCTTCTGGAGATTCTGAGGGAGAACCTGTTTACTTACCTTTTCCAGTTTCTAGAGGTCTTCATTATTTCTTGGTTCATGTCCCCCTTCCTCCATGTTCAGAATCAGTAATGGGTAGTCAAGTCCTTCTGACACTGCATTACTCTGACCTAGCTTCCACTGTCACACCTCTTTCCTGGCTTTCTTCCTCTGCAACTCTCTTCTGCTTCCAAAGGACCACCTGAATAATCAAGGATAATTTGCTAATCTTGAGGTCAGCTGATTAGCTGTCTTAATTCCTCCTTCCTGCATAACCTAGTGTATACACAGGTTTCAGCGATTAAAAGTTGGACATCTTTGGGAGGCCATTATTCTGCCTATTACAACATGATTTTCTAGAAATGTGTATAAATCAAGGTAATGGAAAAAGACTTATGGGTTCCTGGTGATTTGATTAATCAGTCATAGAGGATTTCTCTTTTGGGCAGTGTGCTATAGAAAATTTTGGCATGAGTAAAGGGTTGTTCAGTTGCTAAGTTATGTCCAACTCTTTGTGACCCCATACACTGCAGCATGCCAGGCTTTGCTGTCCACTTTCATTTTGTAAAGTAGAGAAAAGGCTATTATGGACTGAGGCCTGTTTTCTCAGGCAAACTAATTTTAGGTGAAATAGATGTGGAAATTAAGAATTTGGAATACAATTGGTTGTTTTCAGGGCTTCCCTGGTGGCTCAGATGGTAAAGAATCTGCCTGCAGTGTGGGAGACCTGGGTTCAATCCCTGGGTCAAGAAGATCCCCTGGAGAAGGGAAAGGCTACCCACTACAGTATCCTTGCCTGGAATATTCCGTGGACAGAGGAGCCTGGCAGGCTCTCAAATTATTGTGATGACAAACCCGCTAAAAGGCTTCCCATGATCCTGGACCCCAGATAGATGATCCTTGATTTGGGGTGTGGTTTCCAGACTTGACTGATTTTGCAATTATCTGAGACATTTGAAAAATAGCATCAGATTTCCAGGCTTGAATCTCGACCTTCAGAATCAGAAGTTTGGAAAACAGAGACAGAAAAGATGATTTGAATAATTTCTTTAGTTGATTCAGATATTTAGCCAGATTTGATAACCATTGGCTTGAAAAATAAAGGGACTCAAATAAGTAATGATCGAAGATACATGTGTTCACTAGCTTTTTCTATTATTTGCTGGTTAGTTTTGAAGGTTACAGAACACTTAAACATGAACTAGAGCTTTGTTCAACCTGACCAACGTGTAGCCAACAGAGAAATCTGAAGATATTATTTTCACTTCCAAGTCATCAACCCCCAACCACAGGAAACTAGAACCTCTGGGTTTTTTCAACTCTTTTAAACATGTATACTCTGACATTATAAGCTATGTCTTATATGAGTTTACCTTTGTTAAATTGTCATAATGTGATTAAGTTATTCTTATCCCATAGATGTAATGGAAGAATACAGTAATGCTTGTGATCACTTTGTGTTTATACCAAAGTATGATATATACCAAATTGTGGTTATAATTACTATCTAAAGTCTGTGAATTAGCACATTTTCGACAGCAAAATGCTGATTTTTATAAGTTAGTTTAATAAGCTTTCTAGAAATGAGATGTCTTTTAAGAAAATATGCAGTTAATCAAGAGGACAATAGTTAATCATTGAACATGTGCCAAAATGTATATCTTGAAGACTAAAATGTTGCCTTTTCTCTATAGGTATCACACTACAGAAAGAAACTCAGGAAGGAATTCCACCCCCAACCCAGAGTCAGGAACCTCTAAAACCTCAGGAGAATATATCACGACCTATTCACTATCCCTTAGTTTTAAAAACTAACTTTGAGGAAGAGGAGGAGGAAGAAGGTGAACAAAATGGTGAGTAAACCTTTTCTCACATTTATAGTACACATTCAAAAACCTCATGATATTTTCTACATACTCATTTAACTTTTAGAAGTTTATAACTAATATATAAGGCAGATTTTGGTGAGAAAATAGCTTTAATTTTATTAAATATATTACATTCATTATGTTCTAATTTGTTCTATGTCTACACACATATTTATGATTGTTTGGATTGAAACTTTTTTATTGTATGATGGCTAGGAGACAGATCTCATGTTTAAATGTGCACAGTTGCTTGTAGGTATGCTAATACCATGTTTTATTTGTGTATAACTTAACATTGATAATATGATTTATAAAATTATAAAAATTTATACATAACATCATCTATTTATATATAACAACACTGACATACATAAGTGTCAGTCTGTCTGTCTCACATTTAATCCTTGACATTATAGAGATCAATAGAGTAGTTTGTAATGTGTAAAGCATTATCATCTGCATTATCCCAGTAATCCTTGCCAGCATAAAGAAGATTAGAACCCAGGTCTCTTACATTGTAGTCCATTTTATTCCTCCCATATCATCACAGCACTGCAGTACCAATAAGTATGTACAAACAAGATAAACATCCAGAAAAATAAGCTCTAAGTCTGTCTCTGCCCTGGAATTTGTCCTTCAATGGAGACTCAAAATGTGGGCACATTGAAAAGACTGAAATGTTACTTTTTTTTTCTGTAGCTATCTTATTAGAGAAAGACACTTAATAGGGAATTCCACCTCTGATCCAGAGTCAGAAACACCTGAAACCTCAGGAGGATATATTACAACCCACTCACCATCCTTTAATTTTAAAACTAACTTTGAGAAAGAATAGGAAAAAGGAGATGTGTCATTTTCTGCTGTTTAGCTCTATGTCTCCCACACCAACATCCTCTTTCTCCAGACAAACATAATCTCAAATGTGAGTCTGTATGTCCAGCCTCTCATCTCAAAACACATAATGTACAGTCATTTTTCTCTTGACTGATTCTTTCTAAAACATAAAATATAGCAATAAGAAACATTTGTTAGTATGCAAATTATTGACTTTAAATGTTTTTAAAACAGTAATCCATTTATGAGGACAATGTGTGGGATTTTTCATTCTGGTTTATAAATTTTCAGATTATTTGGCTTTGGGACAATTTAATTTAAAAAAAATATATCCTATAGATGCTTCTAGTTTATGGACAAAGACTCCTGAAGAAATTGAAGAAAAAAGAGCAATAAAGGAGATGTGTTATAAATCTGGTAAGAAATGAAACATTTGTGCATTTTCTAATATTTGATGTGAGAACTACACTAACCATTGATTTTCTTGTGGGAGATTAGGTGAATACTACCGAGTTCATACTCCTTCAGATATTTCATCATCTAAAAGCATAGCCTCTATAGTGGAAAAAGAGATAGAAAAGTCTTTGGAAAGTGGCAGTGAATTGCAAGAAGGTAAGGAATGAAAAGGAAGCTTTTCAAGGTGGTGAATGAGAGATACTTGGTGTGATAGGCTGTGAATTATTTAGTTAAGTGTGCACTGGAGTCAAATGATAAATAATACATCAGAATTGAGAGTGAGAAGGAAGTGATTTTATTGCATGACCTAAATTCAATATGAAAAGCTGCTATTAATGTAATTATATTTTCCCAGAGGAACCACAGAATGAATAGACTCCATAAACACTTGGTGACACTACATAGCCCATGCAGTAATTCTGTAAAGAATTCGGTTTTACCACTTCATTTGTCTATGAAAGCAAATCTCCCTATAAAACAAGTGTAGATTTTTCTTTAGAATGGACAACTTAGCCCTGGAAGGGCAAAAGGGAGGTCACGGAATAACATTAGTGGCAGAACAAGGGTATATTTGTTCATTGAATGAGTGCTTCCTGTGTACCAGCCAATTTCAAGGGCAACACAGGTGAATAATTATAAGGCTGTGCCTTTTATGGATCTTATGTTCTGGTGAATCTGACTTTTCTGTTGGTGAATGTTTTGCTCTTGAAGGCAAGATAAAAAGAACATTATTTTCTGGATATAAAACAAGGAACTCAGAGAAAAATCCATGGATGCCATGGGTTTAAGTAGTTTTCTTGCCTCTGGGATGAGCTTAGAAAAAAAAAAAAGGCTTTATAGCAGTAAGCAAAATCAGAATTCTTTCCTCCTCTTAGATACCAAAAACATAGTTGGAAAAGGTTCCCAGATCAAGATGAATATAAGATCAAGAGTAGAATGTGTGTGTTGCAAGTATGTGTGGCAAACCATTTAAACATATATGGCAGTAGGTGGCAGCAACATACTGTCAAATGGTAGAACAGTCGCCAAACCCAAGCTGATAGGTGGGAGCCTCCAGTGACGGACAGGTTGTCCGAATTACACAGACAAGGGCTTCCCAGGCGGCGCCAGTGGTAAAGAAGCTGCCTGCCAATTCAGGGTACACAGGAGACGTGAGTTTGATCCCTGGGTCGGGAAGATCCCCTGGAGAAGGAAATGACACAGACAAGAAAAACAAAACAAAGACAAACATGTTGGCAATGAGGATTAAAAATGTCAGATATAAAGACAGTTATGTGCATTTTCACCTTATATTATGGTTTTAAAAAGCTTTTTATTTTTAAATAATTCCAGTTAATTCATGAACCCTCTTTATCCAAATGTCCCCAAATGTTAACACTTTACACATTTGATTTTCATTCCCTTTCTTCTCTCTCTCAATATACACATTGTTGTTATTTTTTTTTTTCAAATTGTTTGAGAGTAAGTTGCAGGCTTACATAACTCTCACACCAATGTAGTATAAATACCAATATCAGAAAATTACTAGTGATATAATATTGTTTACAAACTTAAAAAAAATTCACCAATTGTGCCATCAATGTTCTTTATACTAAAATGAAGTCTCCCTGATTTACAATCCAGTTCAGAATCACAAGTTATATCAGATTATCATAGCTCTTTTATTCTCCTTTTAATATTTTATTTTAGGAGAAAATTATCTGGAAATGTATAAAGAAAATGGAGAGACTTTAATTATCAGTATAATTAGCATTTTTCAATCAGTAGTATATCCTAATACATTTTACTCAGTTTATTCATGGTGAGTAGATAAAAACAAAAGAAATATTATAAAATTCATTATATATCAAGCACATCAACTAAATTAAATATATATACACTATAGCATTAGATTGCTCACATTTTTAAACTGCCACTTGTTATATTATCCACATAAGAAACTAAACTTGCCTTCTGCTTTCCTGATAATTATAAATTGGCTTAAAATGTATATAATCATAAATTTATTGTTCATCAAATCACTGGACAAACAATACTGCCATTAACTTTTAGATTCTTTACTATCATCATAGATTCTATCAGAAACTTAGGTAAGCACCTAATGGTTTCTGGAGTGATTTTTTTTTTTTATTAATTTCTAGGGGATGGTCTGACAGTTCCAACAAAACTCAGCCTATTTGAAAGGCAAGGTGAAATAAAAGCATCACTGGATAGGAAACCAAGGACTGACATTGCTGCTTTTGAAAATGGAGGTTGGTTAATTTATTACTGATTTATTACTGAGTATATCACCATATAATAAATAATAATAAATAATTCTGAGTTTTTTCTCTCATAAGCAACTTGTTTCATCAACGTCTCTTTGACATTTTATCACTGACTTTGGATAAGCTCCTTGAGGCCAGGAATTGTGTACAATCAGTTGCTCTCTGCAGTAGAATTCCTGGCACATGCAGTACCCTTTGTAAATATTTGTGGAATAAATGGCTTTATGTTTAAACAATTGAACGATTACATGTATAGAGACATTGTTTATAAAATGTACAGGTGACTGGAAGCTAATATGCTGGAACAGTGAGTCAAATGTAACAAGGTAAACACAAACTGTGATAAACATAACCTCTTGCAGTTAAATTCAAGACATAACTGGTAAGTTTTCTTCAAGTGGGGAAAGACTTGGTATGATACAGATTGTGAGGGAAAAATAAATGCTTTTGTTGGCCACAGAGTTTCAAAATTATTAAGTAACTTGTGTCAGCTACCAGATAGCTAAGGTAAACTTACATTGCATTATTAGGAGTACTATAGAAAAATAATTAAATACAATGAGTCATTTAAAATATTCAGTAGACTATCTGACATATAGAAAGATGCTGTATAAACATCATCTATTATTGTACTAGTTCCAGTGATTTCTGTACAAGGTAGTCCATACTTGAGAATCATTTTTAAACAAGGTTACTTGAAAACAAGTATTCTATGTTAAGAAACATAAACTTGTATGGTGATGATCTGAAATTAAGTATTTAAGTAAATTTTAAAGCAACTGTGGATATTTATCCTGGAAAATAGATCTTTAGGGATTATAAAAACTGCTTTCATATACCTGAGGATATTATATGGAAAGCAATTATATTTATTGAGTATCTCTAAAGTGTGGTAAAGATTGTTAGATGGAAAATTGTATTGACTGTGAATTTTCTTATAATTACCTGTAAGTGTACATACTGAATATTCATATACATATATATTAATCAAAACATATATGATATGTATAGAGATGGCAATAGTATCACTGAGAAGTATTTAAATAGTGTTTTAGAGGAGGAGTATGCTGTACTGAAAGATAGCTTTGTACAATTTTCTGCTATTGTTGCCACTGACAGTAAGTTATTGTCCTAGGAGGTGACTGCTACGTTCCACAGAGAATCATATTTCTTGAAGTAGATGAAAATGAAGCTTTAACTGAAGAGAAAGAAAGCACCATATCAAAATGTTCAAATGCTAAAGGTAGTGAGCCAGTCTATATTTTGATCTATTTGTGATTTGTATAGATAAGTTCAAAACATAAAATTTGATTCTGTTATATAGTTGTAGAAACCAATACAAGAGGCAAGGTAATAAATAAAAACATACACCAAAATATACTGGATGGGAGCCAGGATCCCTCAGTATCCAGTCCTGGCTCTATGACTAATTATTTGCCTGTGGAGCTTTATCTTTCTTACCTTCAGTTTCCTTATGGGAAAAACTGGCCTGTTGGACTACCCAATTGCTGAGAGTCTTGCTAGCTCTAAAGTTGTTGGTTCTCTTCAGTGGTAATATCCAGTCCTCTTTAGTTGTGGTTTTTTTTTTTTTTTTTTTCCAGCTTCTAATATTCGGTATGATTGAATTTTCTTAGAAAGCTTTTGTGAAGATACATATACTGAGAAGAGTACTAATCTCATGCTGATTTCCCTCTTTAGGATTATTACTAACTGTAGTCTGAGAATAATCCAGAGATATGTTAATAAAGTACATTCTCTATAGTTTTATGCTGCCTCTACCTTGCTAAGAGTGCCCCAGCTGGGACCTCAGCTGGGCAGCTGTCTAAGCCAGACAGGATGGCTGTCCTGTAATTAGAAGACTTCATGTATTCTCCATATAAGTGTTAACCAATTTTATCTACTGTCTTCTCCACCATTAAATAAATATTCTCAAAGACAGGGAAAGACACTTGTGATCGAACTCGTCCTATGGAAAATGATATGTGTATCTCTTTTCCTCTCTTTTGTTCAGTCTATCAAAAAACACACCTCTAACTATACAAATAATGGTAGCCATCATTCACATGTGGTTGTTTACATTAATTTAATAAAAATTAAATAAAATTTTAAAATTCAGTTTTTCAGTTGCACTAGCCATATTGCTTGTGCTCAGTATTCACATGTGACCAGTGGCTATCATTTCAGATGGCACAGATTTAGAATGTTTCCACTATTGTATAAAACTCTGTCGGATTGTTCTGCTTCCAAGCTTAGAACAAGTGAAGTGTTTTACAGATATTTCTTTATCCTTGGTTTAAATTGGCATACTTAGAACTTCCCAGATGGTCCAGTGGCTAAGACTCCATGCTCCCAATGCAGGAAGCTTGGGTTTAATCCCTGGTCAGGGAACTAGATCCCATATGCTGCATCAAAGATCCCATGTGCTGCTACTAAGACCAGGCCAGCGAAATAAATACATGAAATCAGTAATTTTTTTTAATTGGCACATTTGACATAAAATTGATAACCCTTTTTATGAAAAAAAATTTGTATGGAGGTATTAAAAATATTGCCACAAATATATATTTACCTATTGAAAATAATGGCTGTATTTCAATTTTTAATGTTTTGATACTGACAGATTTGGAGGACTCGATGTGCTAACTAGGGAATTTCAATGGTGGGTTCTAGAAATTAATATGCATATATATTTTTAAAAGAGGTATGCCCATCATATAATGCTTGCAAAGTGAAATACCAACAGAAATACTTTTTTTTTCTTTTTTTTTTTTACTAATACTGACATTTTATTTTCTTAATTTGCTTTAAAAGATAACAAGGACAGCCCTCATCCAAAGCGTTCCCTAACTACCCGACTAGTACCTACAACGCATGTATTAAATGCTACTGAGAATATCAGTATGAAGTGCAGAGAGGACCTTTCTTCAAGTGAGACATTAGCTCTATCACTTTTTGGCCTTAGATATATTTGTCTTATCATGGATTTGTTTTGCTTATTTGAAATAGAATTTTTTAAAAGAAAGAAAAAAGGATGGTTTGAAAATTATCAGGATTAAGAATTAAAGACACAATAGTCTTCTACTAACTCTGACAATGATTTGTGATGTAGGTTCTAGTAAATTAAAATACTTTCCCATTAGTTTAATTTAGATATTAAAATTGATAGTATAATACTATGTTCTTGGAAGATTCTTAATTTAACCTGTGGTAGGATTCATTGACAGATTTTTTTTTTTTTATTATCTTTCAGATTATTTTTCTTGATTTCACTTCTCCTTGCCATGTAGTACTCAAAGCCTCTTCTCTTGATACAATCAAGACTCATGAATCTTCTTTCCCTCCCTCCCTCCTTCCTTCCTTTCTTTTCCTTATTTCATTTATTGAACCCCTGTAATATTCTTCAACCCCAGCTGGGCAACAAAGAGAACCATGATGGTTTACCTCAGAGGAGCTTAGTTCAGTGATACTTGTGAAAAATATAGTTTCCAAATTCTAGGAAGGGGAGCATGAGCGTAAGGATAGAGCATGATATTTGGAGAGGAGGTAGTGAATCAGGGGTTCACTGAAGGCTTCCTGCTTAAGCTGAAGATGAGAGCTAGGGCAAAGAGAGATTTATCAGCCCACTGTAGAGAGCTAATGTAATCTACACAGTGATTTTGATGTTCATGTTTACTCTGGAGAAATGTACCTTAGAAATTCTTGGAAAATTGAGCCTGCATATAAAATTTTCCATGTAAAAACAAGCAAGCAAGAAGTGAATAATTTAGTAATATTAGCACTTACAAATTTTGCTTATTGAGTCTTGTTTCACCAAACTATCCATGACCCCAAATTAGAACAATAAGGTAATAGTCACTAAAAGTATTTTACACTAATCCACCTTCTTAAGAAGTAGTAGTTTTGGCTTAAAAAGTAAAGAAAGATTTATGTTCACAATGACAATTCTAAAACTCCTAAAAATAACATTATAATGAGATATATAATTATATTTGGATTGTAATCCAAATTGGATCCATGTATTCCTTTGGAGGAAAAGCATTTTTCCTCCAAAGGAATGTTACTTATCGAAAGTTTTCTCATCAATCAATTTGATGAGAAAAATCAAGATAGAATTTTTTTGGTATTTAAAAATAAATCACCCTTTGTTCTAGAAAGTAAAGTATTAGTATGGTACATTTTTCCCCCCTTGAGTGACATGTGAATGCACAGATATGTAATTATCACCTACAGTAATTTTTCACATGAAAGCATCTCCTTAAAAACTGCAAAAATTTGTATCTTCTTTAAGTGAATGATGTCCATCCAGTGAGGAAGCCTCATTTTAAAGGTGTGAAAAAAAGAAAATGGATGTATGATGAGCCAAAGAACTTGCCTGGCCCAGGGATGCGAAGAGGTAAAGTGTCTATGTATTTGATATTCCTGAATTATAATTTGAAAATAGATTAAATAATATTTTCTAGGTGACAAGTCACTATCATGCACCATGTTATTTGGATGTCAATTCCTATAAAGTTCTTTTAGCTTACATTCTATTACATCATGCTATTAAACATTTAAAGTGCAATGCATTCATTACAGGTGTGAAACCAGCTTGCTTTATCCTTTGTTCCCTTTCCCCTTTCCTGTATTACAGCAGTGCAGACTTCAAATCCCAAAAGTAAAATGAGTTACCATCGGAATAATAAAAACAAAAATTCTGAGAATGCATCCTATATCCATGTTCAGAGAGATGCTGTCAGAACTGTCTCACTGAATGCACCTCCCCATGGCAGGCCTTCACACAGGTCCTACATTAAAGCTGATGCTAACAAGGAACCCAAATTCAACCTCTGTTCAGGTGAGGTTCTACACTTACATAGGCTTTTTACTCACGTCTGTGATTTGCGTCCCTATGGAGTGTCCAGATGGTCCAGCTAATCTTAGCTGCTCCCCACCCGCTTCTCTTTCCAGGCCCTCGCCACCGTAACATCTTAGAAAACAGGTGAGAGGATTTCTGTCCGTGTGCAGGAGTACACATGATTTAAAGGATCTTGGAGAGAACGTGTTAGGTGTAGGTGGCTTGTCATGACCCTCTCTAGAGTTTTGTCTCAGAGCACTGCCCTTTGTTCTCCTGATGGCTTTATCTCACTCTTGAGGATTGTTTTGGAATGGTTGACATTTCTTGTTCCACCAACTGCATTGTTCTATTATCACTTTCTGGCTAGTGCCTTGGTTTTTCTTTAGGCCTTCATGATTACTTTCTGAAAAGGTTAGTTTGGGGGTTAACTGCAGTATTTTTGACAACCTCTCATCTCTCCCACCCATGTCCAGATTGCTTTTAAATCATTTCACCATGTAATAGGCCAAGTCATAGTGTATGTGTCAGGAAGTACAAGGCCTTGAGGGAAGAGGGAACTAGATTTCTTTTTTTATCCCTTGTCTCAGATGAATTTGGTTCTTTTAAAGCTGGGTTTTGGTTTTCTCAATTTAACAAAAGGCCACTCAATTCCCTGTAATTTTGTTTGTATTTGCCTATTTTTGCCTCTAGTCAGTGGAGTTCTGATTGTTGTATACCTTTTGAAGCATAAGTAAAAAACTCTGTGTCTCTCTTTGGTCCTCCATTTACAATTTACGTAGAAGCTAGCTTTTAAATTATTTTTCTTCTGTTTGTTTTAGAATAGAATCATGTATGGATTTATATACATGATTATTTATATTTACTACTGTTGTTGTTGTTTAGTTGCTAAATCATGTCCAACTCTTTTTGTGATCCCGTGGACTGTAGCCTGCCAAGTTCCTCTGTCCATGGGATTTCCCAGGCAAGAATAAAGCCCTTTACTTCTATTATCATTTTATTATTATTTTACTGTGAGTGGACATTTATGAAGAATACAGTGACTACTGCACAGTTAGATGCCATTGTCTAGAGTTGTACTTAGGGGGCCTTGGACCTTCCTTTCTTCCTTTCCTTCTCTCCTTCCTTTCTTTAGCTCTACAAATATTAGCAGAATTATATGTAAAATCACAGTAAGGCCGGACAATGAAATATTTTGATCACGTACATATATTATACTTTTCTCTAGCTTAGCCTCGTGGGAGCAATTCTTATTTGAGGAACTGAACAGCCAATTAAGAGATGTGTAACCACGGTCATTCATAACTTAAATGGTCTTAATAAGCTCACTTGTATCCCTGATGCCTTACCCTTGAAATGGTAAAATGAACTACATAGAGACTAGCTTCACCTCTGAGATAATAGCTTTGAAATACGCCTGGAATATGGTTTTAACAGTATAAAACATTTAATTCCTGTTTCCTTTTTCTCTCAGATAAATATATATCAACATCATATAATGGTTCAGCCTGGCGAAAAAGAATTCCTTTTTCAAAAACGTATTCAAAAAATGAAAAGATATATACAGGTAAACATATACTAGTTGTTTTAATGTATCATATAACTTTAAAATGAATGACAAGTGTTAAGCTCAAGGAACATATTTTAGAAAATTTTCATGATATATATGATTATAATTCTTGGAGTTTAGCAGAGATCTCATCTACTAGCAATTTTTTTTAGCCTTTTACTTATTTATTTAATTGGAGGATAATTGCTTTACAATTGTGTTGGTTTAATTTTAGCTTTTTAAAAATTGGGTTTTTCTTTGCTTATTTTTATTTTATCAGAAATCTTTTGATATATTTCTTTCCTTAGCCAGAAGCATAGTAGTTTCAGCAAGTATATAATCTGTTAAGATGCATTCTTTGTTGAACTACAAAGCAATATATAAGGCCATATTTTGACACAAACTATTAAAGCCCTATTATATCCTGGCTAGTGAATATATAATGGCTAGTGCAGGCTGACGGGGCACCTAAGTTGTAGTTTCCAGCCTGAGAGGTTCAAAGTGACTGTGGTCTCTTTTGTGCTCTTTGCCCCGGGAGGGTGTAGGGATTCTGGGGACCTCCCGAAGGTAAAGGTTTATAGCGGCTCCAACCTCGGGTTCCAGATGTGGTTCTTTTACTAAGAAGCTTGGTGTCTTACCCTAGCTTATTCTGAGGCTGGCTCAGTAGGTTTGGAAGATCACACAGGACAAACTGGTTTCGGTCACTTCTTAGAAACCTGAAACTTTGCAGAAAACCTCCTAGGTAGAGAGTTCCTACCTAAATCAGTAGCCTAGAACTTTCAGAATCATCTGAAATTCATAAAATCTTACACAAGAGATTCCCAGAAAAATCAGAACACATCCAGACTAGAAACTGTACACTTCCCAAAATAAGGAGCCAGGATCTTCTAAAGCAGTATTTCCCTATAAAGTCTTCACTACAACTGTGATGCAGGATGTAGACTTGTATATATATTTATAGGTCTTCTCTAGTGGCTCAGACAGTTAAAATTTAATCTGCCTGCAAATACAGGAGACCTGGGTTCGATCCCTGGGTTGGGAAGACCCCCTGGCGAAGGCAATGGCAACCCACTCCAGTATTCTTGCCTGGAAAATTCCATGGACGGAGGACGCTGGCAGGCTACAGTCCATGGGGTCACAGAGTTGGACATGACTGAGCAACTAACACTTTCATGTATATTGTTACTGGAGTCAATCGCTTTTCTTTTTTTCCCATCTCTTCATCATATGTTACTACAACAGAATGCTACTGCAGTGCTGTTTGTTTACATTTCATCTTAAGTTCATGTGGGCTGCACTTAATTTTGTGAGGAAAGAGGTGAAAAGTCAGTGAAAATCCTAAATAAAACTACCAATTGTTAAGGCATGTCTTTTTCTCCCATGACTTACTTGTGGGTGGGATGTTTCCACCCCTGTCCCAGTGACAGCTCCTGTATTCCAACAGCCTTCTCCCACATAGTTAAACATGAATCACCAAAGGTTTGGGAGGGAAGAGGGGTCACTTCAGAATATGAAACACGTACCATCCCTGTATGTGACGGGGGAATGCAAGCTAACAAAACCGCTTTATTCTTTCAATTTTGGAGAGTGTGGAGGAAGGTATGTGAAACAGACAGCAAGAGAACAGAAACTTTGTGGAGCCAACTTACTCAGCACTAAGTCTCTCCTCATCTTCCACCACCTCCAGCTCCGCCGGGGCCCAGGGGTAGAAAAGTCAAAGACAGAATTTCCCTTGAATTTTTAAGAATCGGTGCATAGAGAGGACCTGCAGTGCACTTCTCAGATGCAACCTAGGGGGAAAAACTTCGGAGAGAATTTCTCAGTGCCCTCTAGTGATGTGGTTGCAGGGAGGGTAAACCCGTCTAATGCTAGAGGGCTGGAGATAGAGCCTCTTGAGGCTGCCAAGCTCCAAGCTTGCTTGGGAGGGCATCACATATTCCTGTGAGTTTCAAGTGAGAGTGAGTTTCTGGGAGAGAGGACCCGTGGATGTACACGGAGTCTCGTGGCTGGGACTGAAGGGAGAGCATAAGAAAGATGCCTTTGTGGCTGGGTTCTCTTCCAGGGGGGGGACTCAGCTGGAATCACAGCAGATTTCCAGGGGGGGGTGATTAGAAACCAGGCCATCACTCACTGATCAAACCCTTGTTACTTGAAGTATGACCTGAGGGCCACCAGCAATGACTTGGGAGCTTGTTAGAAACACGGAATCTCCATCTCAGACTTACTGAATCAGTATCTGCCTTTTAACAAGATTCCCCAGGTGATTAGGATACACATTAAAGTTTGAGAAACCTTAGACTATGTTATCCGGGCACTGTTCCCCAGCACAGGACCCAGACCTTGTTGAAACCCAAGATAGTTGAGATGACATTCTTTTCCTTACTGTCACATATGTGTGCTAAGTTACCTCAGTCGTGCCTGTCTCTTTGCAACCCCATGGACTGTAGCCGCCAGGCTCCTCTGTCCATGGGATTCTCCAGGCAAGAATACTGGAGTGGGTTGCCATGCCCTCCTCTGGGGAGAGGGGGGGTTTCCCAACCCAGGGATTGAACCCAAATCTCTTATGTTTCCTGCACTGACTGGGCGGGTTCTTTACCATTAGCACAACCTGGGAAGCCCAGTCCCAACCCAAGAAATTAGGATAAACAGCAGGAAGGTAAGGGAGGGGAGAAAAAAAAAAACAAACCCAACCCTGGGAAAGTTTCAAATTTGAATGTGATTGAAAGATACATGTGAAGTAACTAAGGAACCACTGAATTGGCCTAAATTTATAGGCAAAGGACTAGATAAATTTTCGACATCAGGCAGAATGGGAATTTAAAGTCGAGTAATTAAGTAGGCTTCTAACAAAATGAAGTTGGTTTTCTTAGTTGCCTAAGGTTTGGCTGGGAAATGTGTGACCCCTGAACACTTCCCCTTTCCAGTTGCTGTTTTCCCCGGAATAGGGAGAGAGAGGTTAGTTGGTGTTTTCTCCCCGCACTCCCTGCTAGGGCACAGTGGGGAGGTCGCGGCATTCCCCAGGGACAGATGGACTGTGGAGAGAGGAGGCGGAAACACAAGCTGCCTAGTCTGTCCCTCTGAGGAATATCTGAGCGCCAAGGCCAAAGAAGTGTAAATGGGTGAGGGGAGCCCTTTGGGAAAATGTTTTTGGACGCTCTGAGGATAATGCAAGAGGAGAGGAAAATGTGTCTGTGAGAATCTAGGGAAGGAGCTGAAGGCAATTAGAGATATCATTGTCAGCCTTCCCTTGAGGTCACATGTCCTTTCCCATAGGGATATAGCTGGTTGACTGGAGGTGCCTGTCTGCACAGAAGGGAACATTCATTCTCTTCATTCTGGGTGCCCCATGGTGCAGCCTTCTGTATAGTATTATTTCTATTCCTTTCTATCCTCCCCTTCATCTAAATTCAAATCACAGCAAGCTTTGGAAAGAAGTGGAATTAATTTGAATGGCGTTCTGAAAATTTATGAATTAAAACAAGCTTAGTTTTTGTTTTGTCTTAAGATTTATGGGATGTAATTAACAAAGGAAATGCAAAATGTTTGTACCCTGAAGAATGCTGAAAAACAAAATAACTGAAATATGTTTTGTGTTTTATTATTAGAAACAAGAAGAAATGGGAGCAAGTAAACCTGGAGGTTGAGAGAAGAGAAAAATGAGAAAAGAGAAAAGTGCCAGAAATCATCTGATTTACAATCAAAAATGAAAATTCAAAGAATGAGATACTCAAGTACTCCATACTATATACTGGATAGCCAAAGATGATAAAATGCAAATTCTGAAAATAAGATGCAGGAAGTACATTGTGCTCTTTCAAAACTGATAAAAATGCAAATTACAAACAGCTGCCTGTGTATTTGTATAGGTCTGGAATTCATTTAATGCATTGCCACAAACATTTAATAAAATTTAAAAGTTTGACAATTAAGATCATTCTTTAACTGTAAACTAAGTTAGACTGCACAGATTGAGGAGTAAAATTGTGCTTTTGATCTCTGTTTTGCAACATTCTTTAAGGAAGAAACCTCACATTTTCTTTCTTTACCTAAATTTTAACTGGGCCCTCTGTGATAGTTACAGATAAAATGTAAACAAATTCAGTGAAGTCCCAGGGTTACAGTGTGGTGATGAGTATGAGAGGAATTCTAATAGATATATACTTCGATGGGTTGTAGAAAGAGACAAAGTCTGGTTTATCATTCAGGGCTGTTGCTGAACAATGTCTTAATTGGCAACTACAAAATCTACCTGCTGGAATGTGCTATGTTCAGAACTGAAAAACAAATATTTTCCTACCATGAAAACAAAAGTTATATGATCATACTGGAGAAAAGGACTCATAAAAGAAAAAAAGTGAATTAATAACAGGGTATCCCAAAAGTCTGAGTGAGTTTTTAAGGTTTCAGAAACTCAAGAAGTATAAATGCTTATGAATTTAAGAGAGAGACATCATTTGAAAACTTATTTCCATTTCTTTTGTGCTCGTTTAGAATTGTGAATCTTGAATAACAAAATTTTCTTATTTAAAAATTTTCCTCTGCAGAGTGATTGAAACAAAAACTTGAAATTAAAAATTCATTCTTCAAACAAAAAACAAGTATGAGAGCAATATAAATAATTAACCTTTCAAATGATATGTTTGTAAATTTGTAACATTTGTACTCCCACGTTTATGAAAGTTCAGAACTTCACTAAGACTTTGGAACCCCCTGTATTTGTATTTGCTTGTGTCTTGTGGTTACTGGGAGCCGCTTGTTCAACATTTATTGGAGAAGAGAGGCAATCAGGACTCTTAGAAATATTTTATTTTTAAAACATTTTTCTAAAAATCACTGCAGATGGTGATTGCAGCCATGAAATTAAAAGACACTTACTACTTGGAAGGAAAGTTATGACCAACCTAGACAGCATATTAAAAAGCAGAGACATTATTTTGTCAACAAAGGTCCATCTAATCAAGGCTACGGTTTTTCCAGTGTTCATGTATGGATGTGAGAGTTGGACTATAAAGAAAGCTGAGCACCGAAGAATTGATGCTTTTGAACTGTGGTATTGGAGAAGACTCTTGACAGTCCCTNAAGGAGATCAGTCCTGAGTGTTCATTGGAAGGACTGATGTTGAAGCAGAAACTCCAATACTTTGGCCACCTGATGTGAAGAGCTGACTCATTGGAAAAGACCCTGATGCTGGGAGGGAGTGGGGGCAGGAGGAGAAGGGGACGACAGAGGATGAGATGGTTGGATGGCATCACCAACTCAATGGACATGGGTTTGGGTGAACTCCTGGAGTTGGTGAAGGACAGGGGGGCCTGGCGTGCTGTGGGGTCGCAAAGAGTCAGACACAACTGAGCGACTTAACTGAACTGATGCTGTGATTCCAACTTGTGGAGCAATAAACCCTAGTTTCTTTTAATGGGGCTCTGTCTCCACACTTTCAAAAACTTGAGGATGTAGTAATTTTTTTTTTACACATAGATATAAATAAAAACTGGGCCAGCAAAATATCCTGGTAAGATAGACTTGAGAGGGAGGTAAGAAAAGAGCTGAATTGAAAAGCTGTCTATTAATCAATGGAGGAAGAAATGCTTATAGACTCTTAAGTGTACAAGTAGTGCTTTTAAGCTTAAATTCCATAATGGCCCTGGTTGGGCAGTTGCTTTTTTGGCACATAAAAGAGCTTTGATGAACTTTACTGGTGTTCAATGATTCTATTCATTTCAAAATGCAATAGTAATAAAAATAATTAAAATAGCATTTATTGGAAATGTAGTATATTAGTTCGCTGGGGCCACTATAATAAAGTACTCACAAACTGAGTGGCTCAAACAACAGAAACTTATTGTCTCACAAATCTGGAGGCCAGAAATCTGAAAACAAGGTGTCAGTGGGTTGGTTCCTTCTGAAGGATCTATTTCAGGACTCTCTTCTTGGCTTACAGATCACTATCTTTCTCTTGGTGTCTCTTCATATCAAAATCCCTTTATATGTGTTTCTGCATTCATATTTCTTCTTTTATAAGGATACAGTCATGTTGGATTAGGGCCTATATTAATGACCTCATTTCAACTGTATAGACCTTATATCCAAGTAGGTCACATTCTGAAGTGGTGGGGTGTTAGACCTTGCAAAACATATGAATTTGGAAGGACATAAAGGTGGCTCTGGGACCCTTCCACGGGGGATGAATAATTCTTAGGTGACAAATCCATTCAAAGACTCCAATCTCCCTAAACCTTTGAGTTTAGGGAGTCCCTAAATCTCCCTTCCTCTACAGTAAATCAATGCAGGTCTGGCATTTCTAGCTTACTCATTCTGGACTACTTTTTAGTCCATATTTAAACCAACCAACAAACCAAACTATTGGAACCCTTTCTAACTCCTTGAGCTGCAGCCAAGTGCAGAATCTCTGCTTAGTGGGAGAGATTCAACAAATTAGGCTTGATCTTTTTGTTCTTTCCATGATTATTTCATATCTTTAGTATTCATTCCCACATGAATTCTCTGAGTTTTTGCCTGTATAAATTAGAAAACTCAGGTAGTTACTTTGATGTGTAGCATACATCCTTATGGGGCACACACTGGATTTTAGGAACCTGCTGGGACTTGAGTCTAGTTATAGATGGAGAAGCAAAGAGGTGTCGTGGGGGTGGATCCTGAGGGAATCAGTATATCTGGCGTGGCAGCTATCTCAAGGTTAATTTCACATAGGGGTGGAAAGGCTGCTTCTACTGTGGGGTAGAGAGACTACTTCTACTGGCAAAGAAGATATCAAAATTTAGGGGCTCCATGGTCCCAGCTTTGTCAGAGTCTTCCTACATATTCCTATTTCAATTTTCAGGATTATGTTCCTTCCCAATCAATACCATCATTGTAACAGTAAATAACCTATGAGCCTGGCAACCCAATTTGCACTGTATTAATTCACTCATTATAACAATTCAGTTACTTTAGGATGAGATTTTGGGTCTGTTTTCTAGCACTCTCAACCCTGCCTATGAGAAATAGGGAACATTCCTTCAGGGCAGACATAGAACTTTTCCGGTCATTTATGTGATGTATAAGCTAGGAATTTACATAGATGCATGACACATTTGCATTTGTAAGTGTAAAGAAAAATGCATATGACAGTTGTGAGTTTAAGTTTTATTCAGGATCTTCTTTGTGGATTATCGCTGGGGTGATAGCTTCTCAGTACCTCTGAGTAACCAGCTCTGAAGAAGCAGAGGAGAAGCCAATATATATATATATACATATATATGTATGAATTTTTTGGCTAGGAAAAATGTAATCAAGCATATATATATCAATATCTTAGTAAAAGATTACTGCTAATCACAAAGAATAGGTATCTCACAATGATTTTAGAGCTTTCCTATGTATGGGAAGATGCACAAATCTGGGGTTATTGAAGTTCTTTCTGAGATGTTTAACTATCCAGTGGCCTGTTTATTCCAAAACTCAGCATGTCTTATCCTGTTTTTCCCATCCTGAATTCCTCTCAGGGCATGCTGTGTCAGCAACTACAGTAGGCTGTGATTTAACCCTTAATATAACTACTCCGTGTTCCTTTTTGTTTGTCTTTAAATATCCAAATTCCTGAGCTCATTTTTTTCCTTTTGTTCAGTGACATTAGGAGCAATCAACCAATCTCATATTTGTTAGCTTGACAAAAATGTTTGAAAGTATCATATACATAGTCACACGGATCCTTGCCCTACCTATGTATTTGATAATGAGTATATACTGGTGATATTTTTGCATATTTCTATTGCCACATCACACCATGAGCTAGCAATGCTTTATTGCTAGAAACAGAATCATCAGTGTCTTCAAAACTAATCAGATTAGAGACTTTATTATGATATTTGAGGCAAAATTAAAGAGAATAGAGAACATAGAAAACCAACCTACATATCTATGTCAATCTGATATATGGCAAAAATGGTCCTGTAGATCAGTTGAAGAAGAAGAGGTTATTAAATAAATGTTTTGGGAAATTGAGTATCCCTAAAGAAAAGAAAAAAAGGCAACGGATCCCTAATCTTACACAGAAAATAAATTTCAAATGACTCAAATATAATGTCACAGGCAAAATTTAAACTCTGCAAAAACTACTTGTTGAATGAATACACGAATCTTAGAATATTTAGAATGCACCACTGAATGAGAAGCTTGTTAAGCTTCTATTTACTGCTATGCTTGCCAATATTTGAGTGGTGGAAGGAAGGCAGGAAGAGAAACAGGCAAGCATGTTCAACTCCTGAAGTCACAAGAACATGCTAGGTATACTTTCCAAATAAACAAGGGCACATATAAAAACTAGGCATCAGTAATCTTGCATTTATCACCTAAGAGGCTGTGTTTTACTTCTCTTCTTATTTAAACTGTGTTTTACTTCACTTCTTATTTAAAACTCTATTCCTTTGATGTAGATAACTTCTTACCTTCTACTATGACTATTATACATTTTAATCTAAATTCTCTTAGATTTACCTGAGGGATCCAAATAGCTTGTTTTTCATTCTAATCTTAGGATATATCTATGCTATCTTGAAAAACAGTTTTCTATAGAGAGACTTTCTTTCAAAAATAATTTCTGGATCCTTTTACCAGAGGCTGCCATTTGACCTGGAAATCAATTTTTTTTTTACTTACAATTATTTTGTGACAAACTGGAGTCTAAACTGCTTGGAAAAATAAAAACCACAACTTCTAATTTCCTCCTGGAAAAACTCAGAAGGACAATTTGTACCATTTGAAAGCTAATCAAAACCAATCATCCACAGTAAGGCTGGGAGAATTTTCATTTCAATTCAATCTGCTTTGGGTTGGCTTTGGATGGCAG